TGCTGGTATCCACTAGCAGATAAGACATTTCACATGGTAGTCCTTGAACAGCTGAACCAGAATAATTAACCTACTTCTTTGCAAACCACATTTATTGTAGTTAATGAAAGATACTAGGTAAATATTATACAGATAATAACTCAATCATCACTCCTTTCTTACAAAGTAAGTGTCACCGTTATCTCTATTTTATAGATAGGGAACTGAAACCTGGTGAGATTAAGCGATCTTCACATAGCTAGAAAGTGAAGACGGTGAAGGTTGAGTCTAGGAAATATAGCTCTGGAGCCCATGGTCTCAACAGCTCTCATCTTCTCTGTTCCTCTGCATATTGGAAACAGGAACAGACCAGAGTCCAACATATAATGTAATATCTGAATAATAAGGCCTGGTTTTTATGCTAGTCATTCATTTAAGTTACTCCTAATTCAATCAGCCTTAGACATTGTCCAGAGATGAAATTGAAAGGAACAGTGAATAGCTTATGGCTAATGGAGAGGGAGTAAATGAGTTGGAGAAGGATTCAACCTTTGGCTCATTGAGCACTCATTATAACTCATCTGCTTATTTGTCCTTTTATGCATCTGCCCATCCATCCAGTCAACAACAATGTCCTAAGCACTGTCACTATCCTAGACACACAGTTACTATACCTATGTGGAAGATAAGACATTGACCCAATCCATTTAGTAGCCCAGGTGGAGAGAAGCAGGCTCAGGAAGTCCACAGTCACTGCTATAGGAAAGGGGCGCATGGAGGAGTTGGGGGTTAATTCTGCCTGTATTTTGGAGAGATGGGTGAGGGAAAGGACAAGAGAAAAGTGTGTCATGGAAGAAAGAACATTGGGCCCAACAAGTTTTCTAATCTCAGTGTTCCTGAGAAAAGCCCAGAATATACACAATTTCCATCAAAGACAGGGGAAAAAAATAAACACCCTTGGAGCATAGTAGGTAAGAACATCAGTTTGAGGATCGAGCCTACCTTCAAATCTCAACCTCTCTTGGCTTCCATTGTTTCCTTCTTCTCACGCTTACAATTGCTCTTGTTTGGTTCCTTAGTCCTTAATTTTCTAAGTTGCTCAAACTTTACCTTCAAAACCAAAGTGTCTAAGTTTCTCTTTTACATGGGGAATTAAAAGGAAATGTAACTTTTATAGAAACTAATTTTTATTACTATGGATTTATTATTCGCCATGGTTCTTGGTGACTAGGTAACCAACAGAGGAGCTAATTCATTATTTTAGCAATTTCAACAGAAACTCCGAGGAAAGGCACCCTGCAGCCACAGAGCACTGGAACTGTACTAATGAGAAGATTAGAACAAAGTTCAGCTCACACTGTCCTAGCTAATCACAAATGTACCCAAGGATAATTAACAGTCACAATTACCTGGAACTATATTATGTAGCCGGTTGGTTATTCTAAAGTCAAGCTGCACTAGATAGATGAGCTTAAAGGAGTTAATGAACAAGCTATTTTAAGTGGTTGATGGGGCCCCTTCATAATAAATAGCTGGGGATAGAGAAAAGAACATTTAAGACTCCATCATCCCCTTCGTCCCAATTCAGAAGTGAACGGAAGCCCAGAGCTCTCTTCAAAGGAGTAGACTATCCACAGAGACCCACTCCCAGCCCATTAGAGACTCTGTCCACCACGTTGAATAGACTCATGGCCAAAATGGCCTTATGCAGAAGCAGTATCCATTCGCCATGATTCATTCCTCTAGAGCAAAGTCTTGGGACTTTCTATCCGTGGCAGCCATTGCCTCTTCCCAATGGGGCCCTAGAGAATCTTTTTCTACCCATGCTTTCGTTTTGTAGGGTTGGAGAGAGGCTTGTGTCAAAGCACAGATCTCATAGGATGTCTCAACCCTTGATTTCTCTCGCAGAGTCCCACCACTCCACACTGCGTCCTGCAGGCTGCTGTTGAACGTGGCTCTGGCAGAGAGGATGGGAGCAGACGGGGAAACGGTGGTCCTGAAGAACATGCTCATTGGTGTCAACCTGATCCTTCTGGGCTCCATGCTTAAGCCCTCAGAGTGTCAGCTGGAGGTGACCACAGAAAGGGTCCAGAGACAGAGAGGAGAGGAAGAAGGAGGCGTTTCCAATTACAACACCACCAGGAAAGAGCAGCCCATGGTCTTCAACCATGTGTACAATATTAACGTGCCCCTGGAGAGCCTCTGCTCCTCAGGGCTGGAGGCATCTGCTGAGCAGGAGGTGAGTGCCGAAGACGAGACTCTGGCAGAGTACACAGGCCAGACCTCAGACCACGAGAGCCAGGTCACCTTCACCCACAAGATCAACCTCCCCAAAAAGGCCTGCCCGTGTGCCAGCTCAGTCCAGGTGCTACAGGAGCTGCTGAGCCGGATCGAGATGCTGGAGAGGGAGGTGTCACTGCTGCGGGACCAGTGTAACGCCAACTGCTGCCCGGAGAGCGCTGCCACAGGTAGAGTCCAGGGAGCTCACCACCCAGGTGGGAAGGAGAGGGTTGAGGAGAGAGGAAGAAGGACCCCGAGGGAGCAAAACCTAGCATCTCTTTACAAGCCCAAGGTGGGGGGAGGAATGTGGCCCAGTCTGCAGCTCTTTCTTCTTTAGTGAAGGTGTCTGTATCATCTAAATGCAGTCCTTCCCCGGGGATTCTGCTCAGGGATGCTTTACCCTGCTTAGCCAGTTTGAAATACATTAACCTGATTTGCGGGGGATGAGTCAGGTAATGGTACATCGGTTCAGCACGGCAACGTCGATGGCAAGCAGGGAATTCGATGTCTGTCTCCATTCATCTTTGAGTTTTACAGACTGCTGCACTGATATCTACTCATGTTCACCTGAGAGACGAGAGAACGCAAGCACTCTGTTGGCCTTAGACAGCCTTTTGCCCATCCGAATAAATGGTGACTGCTAAGATCTCCAAGGACCTGTGTCCGTCTTCTCCAGCAAGATGGAAGTTTTATCCTCTGCCCTCTTCAGAAACTTACACATATGTTCATGCATGGACACTCAAACACACATTCACATAAAACTACCCTTGTACTTAGAGTTCACCCCGCCTTCCCAGAACCTGTCTTCTAACTTTGTATACCCCCTGACTAGTAACACATATGAGTTACTGTCACTACCTCTCTGAAAGATAGGATTAAGTCTTCAGAACCCCGCTCCTGACTTCAGATCTGATCTATGGCTTCCTTACTTGTGACAGATCCCTTAGATCTAGGAAGTTCAGGGTTTTTGCTTATTGGCTTTTTAAATCAGAACAAGCATCCACCATATTATTTTGGATGCAAGTGTTCACTCTGTAGGGTGAAGGCTTCCTCTGAATGAAGTTTCAGCAGAGGCCGAATGGTCCACAACTCTGAAGTGATATCAGCCCTGGTCTTCCTCCGTCACAGCAAAATGAAGGGAAGTTGTTGAATAATGGGTTTTTTCTCAGTTTGTACACAAGCAAACTGAAGCTGAGAGGAGGTCTAGAAGTCCGGTCTCCCTGAGTGTGACCTGACAGTTACTTCTTAGTCTTTTCAATGGAGCTAGAAAGCAGGAGAAAATTCTAGATTTCTCTGGACAGGGTCTCCCTGCTGCTCAGGAAGGCAGGGTGGTTTCTGGAAGTGGTCTTTTTAACAAACCTCCCACTAGGATCCCTGGAAAATGGGGGAAATATCTCAGAGGATGAGCTTTCTGCAGCAAGGGTGGAGTCGTGTCTTTTCAGGCCATGAGTGCTACAGGAGCAGTAAAATTCACCAGACAGAACTTATTTAAACTTAACCTTCTCAGGGCCAAGGAGGAAGAAGGATGCTGAGCAAGTATTCAGTGTGTGTTTGTTTAGCAAGTTTGTTTAGACAGATAAACTAACCGCTGCAGCGACACTGCTGCCGTTAGAGCAGGGGGGAGACACACGTCGAAACTCGGAGGGACCACAGCAAACAGTAACCTTGATGGAACTTTCCTGAAGCCTCTGAAGTAACCTTGGTGTTGAGTTTTGACGAATCATCAGTCCATTGGTGGCAGGCAAAAGAGGAAAAAGGACTGGTTTGTAGCACGCACTGCCTTTCTCTGCCTCTCTGACCCAGAGCCGACCTACACCCCCTCTGATGCCAACACCTCTTTCCCAGAAGACTGTCCTTAGACTGAGCTCTTTGGCCTGCCCAGTGAGAGGAAAATGGCACTGGATCCCACATGCCCTTGGCCCATGAGGAAGTTGGATCCATGTTGATTCCAAGCACCCTGCAGGATGAACTCCAAGGCACTCTGAATGGGACTTCGCTTGATAAGCAACCTGACTTGGGTGACTTCCTTCCTTATCTCCCCTCCCCACTCCCAGTGTGTCCTAGGAACACCTTCTCAGTCACTTTTACCCGACTCTTCCTTTCAGGACTATGTCTGGGGAATCTAGCCTAAGACATGCTAAAGGCGAGCTCTTGGAAGACGAGGGATCCGATCTCTCCCCTCTCTGCCCTCAGACTGGGTGAACCTATTTATTAGCTCAAACCCATGACAACCTATGTTCAGCTGTACTGTCAGTCACACACACACACACCCGCTCAGAGGCTAAGAGGAGGCTTCTCCCCTGCCCCTCTCTAGCATCCACTGACCTTATTCTCTACCATTCCAGGACAACTGGACTATATTCCTCACTGCAGTGGTCATGGCAACTTTAGCTTGGAGTCCTGTGGCTGCATCTGCGATGAAGGCTGGGTTGGCAAGAATTGCTCAGAGCCCTACTGCCCGCTGGGCTGCTCCAGTCGGGGGGTGTGTGTTGATGGCCAGTGCATCTGTGACAGCGAATACAGTGGTGACGACTGCTCGGAGCTCCGGTGTCCCACGGACTGCAGTTCCCGGGGGCTCTGCGTGGACGGGGAGTGTGTTTGTGAAGAGCCCTACACCGGCGAGGACTGCAGGGAGCTAAGGTGCCCTGGAGACTGTTCGGGAAAGGGGAGATGTGCTAATGGCACCTGCCTGTGCCAGGAGGGCTATGCTGGCCATGACTGTGGGCAGCGGCGGTGTCTGAATGCCTGCAGCGGGCGAGGACACTGCCAGGAGGGGCTCTGTCTCTGTGAGGAGGGCTATGAAGGTCCTGACTGCTCTGCAGGTAGGAAGGGGATCTGACAAGGCCCGCACACTGGGTTTCTCCAGTTACTTGGTGGGGAGGGGAGGTCAATTTTAAGCAACATCATCCCCAATGGGGTCTTCACTTGCTTTCCAAGACAGTTGGCTGGGGGGATTTAAAGGGTGGATCAGAAAAGGTCAGCTGAGAGCTGCACCAAAGGCAGTGATAAGAATGGTGACAAGTCTCTTCTACCCTTGAGGTGGATGAAAGTGGGTGATGAGTCTATCTCCGGTTGCCAGTAACACAAAAACCAGACTGAGTCATAAAGGGAAAAGGTTTGATTTGGCTCACCGTGCTGGAAGCCCAGGTCAAGGAGCCACATCCCATGACAACCCTCTGCTTGACAGCCTTAGGACAGAGCAGGGAATCACCAGACAAGAGACAGAGAAAACACGTGCGTGTCTCCTCTCCTTCCCATAAATCCACCGGGACTCAGTCGTAGATTCCATATCAATCGTATTCCATTCACCTCATGATTTCATTGAATCCTGATTAATTCCCAAAGACTCCACCTCAAAACACAAGTCAGGTCAACCTTCAGTCTCTTAATAACTCACAAAGCCCCAGGGAAGCGCTCAAACCATACCCAGATGGAAGGGGTGACACTGATTAAGATGCATTACACTTGGAAACTGATAGATTGACTTGAAACCCCATGGTAAAACCACTTGAAGACTATCTATCTATACATTATATATGTGTGTGTGTATATGTGTGTGTATATAGCATATCCAAACTAGAGAGTGAGGTCTTGGGACCACCTGAGGGAAAACTATTCTCTCACTCACAGGGATTCCAAGAGTTCCACCAGGGACACCTCCTTCTATCCTTGGTACTTGAGCGATGATAGTTAGTCTCCAAGGCTCTCTGCTTAGCTTGGAGTTTACAGATCGCAAGGTGCTATTAATTTATGAAATTATCTAGTGTCCACAGCTGGAAAGCATTTATAGGCAAGGAATTAAATGCAAACAAGAATGAAATGCTAAAAACATTAAGCAGCCATTAACAATCTAACAGTTAATATAGAACACTAAAAGGATGTGACTCATTTTGTTCCCTGTGATTGTGGTGTAAACAGGAACTGACTTCATGTGTCGTCCACAGCATTGAAACTGATAGAACAGTGGTGTCCTATAATGGCACACTAAGGTGATATATCCAACAGTGGAGAGAGGGAGAGAGAGAGAGACAGTGTCAGAGAAACAGAGAGCAAGCAAGAGAGTACACTAAGGCTAGTTTTTTTCATCCCACATGAAAACAAATTTTGTTATTTCATTACTACGTATTCTCTTCTAAGTCAGTGAATATTGCTGATACATTTGTGCTTTAAAAGGTATAGATGAATTTAAACTTCAGAATGCCCCCAGGGAACTTTTAAAGGAAGAAATAACAACCAATAAGCAATGTTAAATATTTTAATGGTGCAAAACTAGGAATCTTCTAACGGAGAAATCTGGAAAGCCAGCTTTACCAGTCTTCTGTTTTCTGGCATCCTGTACATACAGATTTAAATTAACCTATTTTAAAAGATCAATGGCAATAATGAAATTAAAACAAAACAAAACAATAATCCACTCCTTTGGAAAAAATGTTTTCATGGGGTTTTTTTTCTTATATTAAATTGTTTTCTATATTCACTTATTTCATTTAGTCTCTCAGTTTTGCTTCTTGAATTGGAATACCTTTCCAAAAATATAGTCATTATACCAGTTGTACCAAAGCAAAAGTCAAGCCAAAGTTAAAACCCATTGTTTCTGAATTCAAAACCACCAGGTAGTCACTGCAGGGAAACAAGTCTGAAACCGAACCTTGTTCCCCCTCAGAGCCTGAGGTTCCATGAGGCCCCATTCAGAGGACGCTAAGGGTCAGCTTGGATCATAACTATGTTGATGCTCTCGCATAGCACATATGTTTCTTAATAGACTCAATGTTCCCAGGCCTGCATGGGGGTCATGCTCTTGACCTCTTTTCACAGGGATGGTTCCATTGGCAAAGAAAATATTGATCCCATGCAGGGTCCAAACCGAACTAGTGATAAACTCTCCTGGTCTCATCGGGAAAGACCCAGCAGCTGCCAGTCTAACTATAACCGGATCCAGCCCAAACAATGCACACATGTTACCACCAACACATTATGTCTGTGTTGCTTGAGGGAGACTTCTGCGGTCCCAGATAACTTACTTTCCTGGTTCCCCAAGTATGTGAAGGAGGATAGTTGCATAATCTCCATTTGTTTCTATGGCAACCCAGGAGCCATCTCTCATTACAGGAAGTACTGTTCTTAATGCCTGCCTTTAAAGCCAAATGCCAGAGGTCTCTTCTACAAAGTTATCTGGGTCATTATCTAAAGTGCTACTCTGCTTGCTTGCTCTTCCTGAAGAGGCTGTAGCAGAAAAGGCTGTTTACCTGCTGTTTGGCATTTCTGGCCAGGTGCACACAAGACAACACTTCTGCTCCCATTGCCCCCAGGAATACAGGGTGGGGATGAAGGGTCAGGAAAGTAATAACAAGGAGGGCCACAAAGTGAACTTCTCTATAGGTCATCATTTGCTCTTTGGCAAGGGCAGAAGAAAGAGCTGTCTGTAAGTGGATTTCTTAGCCACAGCACTTGAATGCACCTGAGACAGCATGTCAACTACATTTGACTCCTACCCTTGATCTTTGCTCACACTAGGCCAGGGGACAAAAATCTTTTTTTTTTTTTAAATTTTATTTTATTTTATTTGAGAACATACTGTACAGAGGGGTTACAATTACATGGGCAGGATAATGCATACATTTCTTACCAAGCATTGCAGCCTCCTCCTTTGTTTACCCTTCACCTCCCTTCCCAGCCTCCCCCCTACCCCCCACCCAATCATAACCCCCCCACACACACCGACATTGTAAAGATGGTTTTGACATGACATTTTGTACTTCTCATTGTTGCAACAGGTCCACCTGAATCCTTAAACGACTTGTTCAGGGGACAAAAATCTTAAGCTTTCTGCTTCCATCCTCTGCCCATCCAAGCTAAAGTGGGAAAAAATAACTCATAAATGTGAACACTTAAAACAAGCCTTAGAGGGCTGGGAAAGTGGCTCAGTGGTAGAGTACTTACCTAGCATGCAGGAAGCCCTGGGTTTGATTCCTTAGTACCACTTACACTGAAAAAGCCAGAAGTAATGCTAAGGCTCAAGTGGTAGAGTGCTAGCCTTAAGCAAAAAAAGCTCAGGGACAGTGCCCAGGCCTAGAGTTCAAGCCCCAGGACTGGCCAAAAAAAAAAAAAACCTTAGAAAAAAGTTACTTCTCATTTTGCAGATTTAAAAAGCAGCAGTTCACAAGGCCAGAGAGATTTTCCCAGAGTTAAATAGCTCATTAAGGGCAGAGTACAAATGAGAACCCTGGTAACCCACCAAAGTTTTAGCAGTCTTTAATCCTCTTCAAGATGCTAAGTTGAACAGAACTGAGAAATCAGATGGTAAAGCCTCCTTCACAAAGAAGTAGCCTTCTGATGTAAACTCTGAGCCCTGTCAAATAAGGAGAAATGAGGTACTTATACCTGGGTGAAGAAGCACAAGGAGCTCTCTCCATATCTGGTCCCAGCGGTGAGGTTGATGCGGGAGCTGGCCGGTGAGATCCTGAGTCATCGGGACAAAGGAACTCCCAGAGCAGGGTTTGGAAACAATTCAGAAAGCTGTTCCTTGAACTGCAGTCAGACTTGAGAATGCATCAAGGTCATCATCTGCTTGTATCAGGACTGCAGCCAGCCTTGACCTTTGGAACCTGAAACCACTCACTCTTGGGAACAAACCACAGCATGGAATAAGTTCCCCTGCTCTGACCCCACAAAGGCAATAGCGACACAAGACTTAAAAAGCAAACAGTATGGCCACTTTCTTCCAGCTACAGGGTCTTCCTTTTTAGCAGCTTATTCATCCCCAAGTTTCAAACCTGAAGTTCCAAAGAAAATCAGATTAAGAATGTTTTTTCCCCTCCATCAATGCAGTGAGCCATGACATCCATCTCTTTTATGGTTTGCTTTATAGTTCAATATCATTTCAGTTGATAATGGTTACTGGAAGCCAATGTGCACACTACTGCTAACTTACGTGGTGAGTGGTGATGGTCTCCATTGTGCTACTGCTCACAAATGACTCAGCTGCTGTTTTCTCCATCTATCGCCAAAGCAGTGTTCACCACCAGCTCCAGCCTCAGGCTAAGTTGTCAAGATAAAAACTTCATCTGCACTGCATTTTCACCTTAGAATGCTAAAATGTCCTGCTTAGATCACACTGCACTGCCTTTACTAGCTCTCTTTTCTGCAAGAAAGAATCAAAAAAGGATATTCTTAGAGGAGGTACCACAAGCCCCAAGACTCGGTGACTTGGGATTTGGAAGGGCCCCCTTGCCGTCACTGTGACAGAACTACCAAGGGAACTTAGGGGCCATGTGTTGAATCACAAGAGACAGACACTAGAAAAGTTTTTGTAATGGAGTAGTCTTAGCTCTGAGAATGAGCACCAGGCTAGAGAGGTCACCCTGTAAGATCTTCTGAAGTATTCTTGATGTTGTTTTCTTGGAAAGGCTGTGTACAGATAAAATTAAAGAAGACATCAAATGAGATGTGTAACTTGCTTTGCAAATTGTAAGAGTACGAACTCTAGACATAGACAATTTGGGTTTGAAACCAGTTCACTTTTTTTTTCTTTTTGTCCGTCATGGGGCTTGAAGTCAGAGCCTGGGCACTGTCCCTGAGCCTCTTTGGACTCAAGGCTAGCACTCTACCACTTGAACCAAAATGCCACTTCTGGCTTTTTCTGTGATTAATTGGAGGTAAAGAGTCTCACAGACTTTCTGCTTGGGCTGGCTTCAAACCACACACAATCCTCAGATCTCAGCCCCCTTGAGTAGCTAGGATTTACAGATGTGGGCCACCAGCACCCAGATGAAAACCAGTCCTGTTATGGCCCAATTCCCTAACTTTTGGTACATTCCTCAACATGAGCCTGAGTTTCCTTTTTTGTAAAGTTGAGATAATTCTGTCTGCTCAAATTACCTCCTAGGACTTCTTTGAAAGGATTTTTTTAACTCTATGTAGTTGACATGACTGACTATAAAATGTTATATGAGTGTAACTGGAATCTTTGTACATTAGCTAAAAGGCTTTAGAGTTGTTCTGCCTGGGTTCAAGTGCTAGCTTTTGTGTTTTCTCTGTGTGTGGTCCAGTTTCCTCATCTGTAAAATAGGAGTTATAATAATGCTTAGCCCGTCATGTTGGTGGAGGTCAAAAATGAGATTGTGCTAAATATTAGAAGGTTTTATAAATCTGCTCTTCTTCCTTTGGTCCAGGAATTCTTTTATACTCATTACACCAGCCACGTTATTACTGCAGTTCACGGCTTTAATAATGTCAGAATTACAAATGATACCATCGTAGACAATAGCATGTGAGGGTTTAATTATTCAAATTTCATTTATGCTTCTTTAGTTTTGTAAATTTCTGTAAATTTGATTTTTGTTTCATTTAATATTTGCCATTTTCAATCAAAGGAGGGAATCTAGACAAAGGAGGGAATTTAGACAATGACTGGCTTGAGGCAAAAACCATCAATGCAAATATCTAGCATTACAAGTATGTGCTGCTCATTTCTTGCCTGTGAATCTGGGATTAAAAACTCCTCACTTCTGCCTCTGCAGAGGATTTGAGGTTTCATAGATGAGTGAGACAAGGAGGTAGACACTCTTCACTCTCCAGATTCTGTGAAAAGCGCCTGGCCTAGGCCTGTTTATTTGTAAAGGTGAGAGGGTCAGATTTCCCAGAGGAGAAATTCAAAACCAAAGGCAACTCTTAAGCCTAACTGAAGCTTCCACTATATATACATGTATAAGTTAATTATGATCATTTAAATATTGCCCTGATCTTTGATTTAATGTACGAACAGGTCCAATTACAGACACACTGTAGTTAGCCTCCTAATTAGTCTTAAAGGTTCAATTATTCAGTGCCCACACTACTGGTGAATCTTCCCTTCCCAAGGGAACCATACACAGAAAGGCTGTTTGAATGTGGTTTAACCTTTGGTAACTCTGAGTAGCATTTGAGAAGTAAGACAGGGGAAAAAAGAAAAGCTCTCAAGAAGGCTTCTTGATCGTCATCTCCAAGGTCAAAGCTAATGAAAATTAGTTTAACACGTTTTCTTTCTTCAAAACTCAAATGACCTCTTTTTAAAAGAGGAAATGCTGTAATAAAGAATTACTAAAAGTCTTCATTAGACCAAGGTATGTAAGACTTAGTATTTTGGCTTTTTATAGTTTGCAAAATAACCAGGGATGAGCTTTGATTTGGACCATTTGCCAATTTCCATGGTGTAAATAGTTTGTGTCTGGACAACTTTAAAGTCCCAACATGACATCACTTAATATCAAGCTGGAAACAGCAGTGCCACTGAACACAATTATGAAGTGTTTTCACCAGAGAGTTATCACGAAGAAAAAAAAATTACCGTAAAGACTTAAGTCTCTTTAAAATGCACTAATTCATTTGCCAATCAGCTTTCGCAGTAAGGAGGCAGCCCCAGCATACCCTTCGCTCGTGGCATTCTAGAAATTAGGAGACTAAGCCCAGAAAAGACAAGAACCACAGAGCCCTGAGCCCAGCAGAACTCTAGCCATGGAAGAAGGAAAGAAATGTGAGGGAGAATGTTGAGTCCCGGCTGGGCAAGGCTGTCCTCTGAGCTCATGCTGTCTGTGTATTGCCTCCCGGTAGTTGCCCCTCCAGAGGACTTGCGAGTGGCTGGTATCAGCGACAGGTCCATTGAGCTGGAATGGGACGGGCCGATGGCAGTGACGGAATATGTGATCTCTTACCAGCCGACGGCCCTGGGGGGCCTCCAGCTCCAGCAGCGGGTGCCTGGAGATTGGAGTGGTGTCACCATCACGGAGCTGGAGCCAGGTCTCACCTACAACATCAGCGTCTACGCTGTCATTAGCAACATCCTCAGCCTTCCCATCACTGCCAAGGTGGCCACCCGTACGTACCATTTCCCCATCCTACTTCATCTCCCTTTTCTCCTACATGAGATCATGGGCATTCATGATAGTGGTGTCTTTTCTTCATTCTTCAAGGGTGCCTGCAATTGCTTGCTCTTCAGGGCAAGGGCTTCAGACGTGACCCACTTAGAAAAGGGTACATTATTGAAAAGGCACTTCTTATTAAAAGAGTTTCCAAATTCAGGCAGCTTTTATGAATTATAGAGCCAAAAGAACAAAGAGTAATTATTGAACACTGTGCTCGTTATAAACTCAATTCTGATTAGAAATCAAGTAAAGTATGAGACTTATATGGACTTTGAATCTAGTTAGGGACCCCAAAACTAGGAGATATGAAGTAGAGTGTGTAATTAAAAAAAACAGTATGTTACAGATGAAAGTATATAGCAGAATGAGAAAAAAAATTATTTATAACCATAGCTGACAGTTCTCATAAAGAGTTGACATAAATTTTTCTGGCTTTTTGTTTAGTTAAATATCTTGATGGTCTACTTTAGATAGCCTCAACATTGGTTGAGGCTCTAGAGCACAATTTAGAAAAATTCAATAGAGAGACAGAGAAAGACAGAGAGAAGAGAAACAAGGCATCCAAGCAAGCTAAAATATTCTCCACATAAAGTAGACAGTTTTTATTTTTTCATTTACAACAGGGAAATTTTTCTATCTATGTTGGGTATATTTTATCAAGAGAAAAAAATGTGAAATATTGATTACCAGTTATTAACACTGAATATGCTAAGACTAGAAAGAGTAGGAAAGTAGTGTTGCTCTTTTCTTTGTATACCTGTGAATTTTTAAGTCATTAGGAAGAGCCTGTACCACTCTAGAATTTTTTTGAATGCTGAGAAACTTCAGTGGAGAATTCTCCAGTGTTATGCCCTTGCCAATCCAAATACGCTGCAAATCCTGCATGCACACCGATGTTTGGGTGTCTTATCTGAGAAGCTTTTTACAGAAAAAGGGGGCTGCATCTGATAAAATTCTAGAAAGAATACATCGAAAACGGTGACATCTGAATGCCATAGAGATTTTAGCCAGAGACTGGAACAAGAAGTATAACCATGACAATATAAATTCTAAGAATTCAGAAAAGGCCCTGAGTCCACACATGGAATTTAACACAAAGAATGAGAGATTAGACATGTAGGTCTCAAATGACAGCAAGGTATTTTAGGGTAAGAAATACGACAAGAATCCTAAAACAGAAAAAAGTCAAGGTCCAAAGAATTGGCCTACAGGGCTTCGTGGAGGAGACAGAGGACTTGAACTGACTGAGCTTTGGGGATGTAAGAGAGGGACTAGCAGAGGACCCAGGATTTGCAGAAATCCTCTTGTCCTATTGCTTTTCAGGTGATCAAGTCTTGTGACAATATTGGACTCCTCCTCTGAATGCTGGCAATGTGAATGTGTCTTATAATGATCTCTGTGTAAATTTGGACCTTATTTGTTTGTTTGTTTGATTTGGTTTTAATTCCTCTGGTGCCTGAGAACTAGTTTTAACTATCCACGGTGATGAGGCTGCTTTTCCCACCTTGCTGGGAATGCGTCACCACCCTAAATGTCTGGCCTCCTCCCCTGGAGGCGCTAGACTCTGATCCACAGCAGCATACTGATGAGGTTCCCATCTCTTAGGGTGCTTGTTATGCCAATTCAGGGCATTCCCCCCTCCCCAAGCAAGCTCCCAGGTGACAAGGACAAAATCATGTAAATGCACCTGACACGCCTTCAAGTGGCTTCAGAATCAACCCCTCCTTCCAAGCAAGGAACAGGAAGAAACCTCCACATAGGAAAGAGAAGGATCTGTCTGATCGCCAATGGGAATAGCCCATGAGATACAGCTAAAGTGGGAGCAGGCTCCCTGGAGAACTGAGAAAAGTCACGCTGTCCTATTGCAGGGCTGGTAATTGGAACTTCATTAGGACATGCATACATCCACTTCACTAAACCTGTGCATGTGTTATGTGTATGTGTGGTTGGAGGGGTGGGGTGAAGGTTGGGATGAGCGAGCACAAAAGAGGAAGAGGAAGAGAGAAGATAAAGAAAAGGTGAGTGAGGACAGGAAGGGAGACTAATAGAGGAAAAACAAGAGGGAACTTGGAGAATGTGAAACGAGAAGGAAACGTCTCCTATCTACCATTGTCTTTTATGTATGCTTCTATTTTGCTTGTGTGGATGAAGCCGAAAATTGAGACCATCCCAGATGTAGTGATTAGAGATAAGCAAAACATTTTCAATATACAGGAAAAGCATCCTATTTTTATCCAGAAGTTGGCTTGTCCCACACCATTAGCCTGCCTTCTTTGCACCTCCTTTTTCCTGGGTGTAAAATAAGAACAATGCTGTTAGCCATCATTGCCTCCCAGAATTCCCACACAGCTTCTAAAGACAATATTTGAGTTCTCTGTAAGAGGCCTTTTATTCAATGCCAAGATTTACCCCCCATGGGTACCGAAAGAAAAGCCTGATTTCCTTATTTTAACATTAACATTTTTATGAAGTGCAAAAGTATTATATTTGTTAAGCGTGCACTTACGTTCATGCATCGCCTCAGGACTGAGTACCAGGGCCCCAGAGCAGGGATCCAGTTCTGTCTGTCCCTAGCAGGATGGACGTTGTCTTCCACACTTGACCACAACCACAGCACAGAGGAGGGAGTTCACAAGGCAGCACTAGGTGGCGCTCTCTGCCCCTGCCAGGGATGTCCATGACATTGTCACCCACATTGCTGTGTTCCAGATCTCTCCACCCCCCAAGGGCTACAGTTCAAGGCCATCACAGAAACCACCGTGGAAGTGCAGTGGGAGCCCTTCTCATTCTCCTTCGATGGGTGGGAGATCAGCTTCATTCCAAAGGTAACACTCCGGCTTGTTAGCCGGTTGATTTGATGTATTCATAACCCCAACTTGAAAGCAGGGGAAGCAAGGAAGACACTGCTCAATATCTCTTTACAAAGCCATTAAAGATACAAAAGGGCCTTTTGTGAGTTTCTGGGCAGTCAAATACTTCCCTCTCAAAGGCCTGAGAACTGACTGAAAAGAGTGACCCCAACATAGCAGCTGGCGGTGGGGACTGGTGATGTTGGAGGCAGCCTCCAAGTTCCAGCTCCCTGATGAGACAATGCTAGGGTTCAGAGAATCATGATTTCAGCTCATATGAAAACCAGATCCTGCGCCGAGAATGTGCCTTAGTGGTGGAGTGCTTGCCTAACATGCATGAAGCCCTGGGATCTATTCCTTAGTACCACATAAACAGAAAAAGCCGGAAATGGCACTGTGGCTCAAGGGTAGAGTGCTAGCCTTGAGTAAAAGAAGCTCAGGGACCGTGCCCAGGTTCTGAGTTCAAGCCCCATGACTGGCGAAGAAGAAGAAGGAAGAGGAGGAGGAGGAGGAAGAAGAAGAAGAGGAAGGAGGAGTGGAGGAGGATGGAGGAGGAGAAGAGAAGAAGGAGGAGGAGGAGGAAGAGGAGGAGGAGGAGGAGGAGGAAGATGAGTCCTTGAAAAGCATTGAGTCAGTCACATAGGAAGCCCACAACTTCATTCTTGCATGTGTACCAGGTCACGTATGTGGTTCCAATCTTTCAAGTCTAGAGACAGTACTCAAAACACCTTGGTTTTTTATTGAATTAGTCAAAATCAGTTAATAGCCTATTAGTTAAGCAATATTTCATATAAACAACATTGTTTAGTCTGTGGGTTTTAAAATATGCAAAGATTCCCCTCCACTCTTTTTTTTTTGTCAGTCATGGGGCTTGAACTCTGGGCCTGGGCGCTGTCCCTTAGCTCTTCAGCTCAAGGCGAGCGCTCTACCACTTGAGCCACAGCACCACTTGCAGTTTTCTGGAGGTTAATGGGAGATAAGAGTCTCATGGATACTTTCCTGCCCGGGCTGCCTTTGAAATTCGATCCTCCGATCTCAGCCGCCTGAGTAGCTAGGATGACAGGCGTGAGCCACTGGCTCCTGGCTTGCCCTCCACTCTTTGAAGCAGTATTTTAGTTAAGTAATCCTAAAATGGTTTCTAACTTGACACTTGGTAGTGGGAGTTCTCCAGAATTTGTTGACTTTCCTGATTCTCTTCCTAATTACCACTCACGGGGTAAGAGCTTCCGCCACTCTCCTCTCCTCCGTCTTCATCCTTCATCATCAAGAATATTTTTTTCAGTCATTCATCAAACTTGATGACAAGAGACTAACTAGACTGTAAGTTTGCCATTCTTTTACTCCAAAATTCTTACAGTCACGAACTGCTGGAGTTACAAAAGAGCTTCGAGATTACAGAGTATGACCACTCATTTTGCATTTAGTTTTGTTGCGTTTATAAAGACCAGCCACAGCAAACATAAATGATATATACTGAGATGGTGCCAGGCTAAGGGAAAAAAATCTTGAGTCTCAGTTGCCTTATTCCAGAGCTCCGTCCATTTACCTGGATGTCCTTACTCTCTTACGTCATGGCAAGCCTAACCAGAAACTCTGCAGGAGCATGAACAGATACTGTAGACTACATCTTGTCATAAGGCAACATGGCCAACAAAGAATGGCAGACAACTGGGTTTATACTAAGACACAGAATCATCATGTCATCATGCTAATCAGGAGGAAAACAAATATGCCAGCTTTTCCCAGCTTATATACAATAGGGAAACTTCTAAGTAAAAGGGGAGCTGGGCTGTGCACCCCAAGATCCAATACATAGTGACCTGGAATAAGTGTTCTGATGTGCAGGTTGAACGCACTGGGGACACACAACTAGACTCTTCTAAAAAGACAACAATCAATGCCCCCCAAAGATGATGAATATTCACCACAACTATCAAACCTTGCATCTTCGGCAAGAACCAAAGACTCATGACTAATTTTGATTACCAAAGAAAAGTCAAGCGAAGCCAAAGAAATGTTCTTGAAAATTAGTGCCTTTTGAGCCTGCTGGGAGTCAATCCTGGCCCCAGACACTCAGCTGTCAGCCAGCATGGAGGGAGAAAACATGGCGCCATGTTTAATTTCTAGTTCACCATCAGCGTGCTGCACCTTTATCTTTCTCTCATTGGATTTCTCTCCCAATAACTCTTTTTGCTTTATCCTCTTCTCCCACTCTCAGAACAATGAAGGAGGGGTAATTGCTCAGCTCCCCAGCGATGTTACCTCCTTTAACCAGACAGGATTGAAGCCAGGGGAGGAGTACATTGTCAATGTAGTGGCACTGAAGGAACAAGCCCGGAGCCCCCCAACCTCGGCCAGCGTCTCCACTGGTAAGTGCCTTCAGCCCTGCCTCCTAGAGCAGCCTACTAGGTCGCTTGCAAAACAAGAACTGCAGAACGGCCTATATGTCTTATAGAGAGACATAGGAGGGGTTAGCATTCCTCCCAGAGCTCATATGGAGTGGAGACCCAGCAATGACCCGCTGTAACAGATGCTTAGCTGACCATATCCCTCACTGTTCGCCCTGCAAGCACAGAAATTCCAGAGAGCATTCCGTGGGCAACATTCTCTGTTAAAGTTCCCGGTGTATGTTTTCTGATCATACTCATTAAGAGGCTCATTTGTCAACCTCCCAGTGTTCTAAACTATGGAACCAGCAAGGGCTGACTCATTCTCTCCCTGTATGAGATTTGGAAAAAAGTCAAACCTCAATCTGTTTTACAATAATAATAGCATCCTTCATCATTGAGTTGGTATGTGGATTAAATTAGATCAAGCATACTACAAGTCACTAGCATTGTGCTGAGAAAAGTAAGAATTTAACATTTGGTCCATCCATATATGCTCAGAAAAAAAAATGCTGAGAAGTAAAAGTAATAACTACATAGCCAGCGGGTAGAGTTGAGATGATCAGTACTTCATTCTCATCTTCGTCCGATGAAGATTCTATTTTATTTTATTACTTCTCAGGATTGATCGATGAACTGTGTCACATTACAGCTGAGTGTTTCCTTAGCTAACAAAGGATGTTCAACTCCAGGTCTGTAAATTAGCAATTGTGATGTATACATATGTGACCTCTGCAAGCATTTCTCAAAACTTATAAATAGCATCTAAGTAGCAAAACCTAAGACTGGTGAATATCAGTACAGCTTTATTTTTCATAAACAGAAATTAACACCCTAGGAAGCTAGTCTTAACTCTAAAACAAAGGATCAACTTGGCCAGGAAAGGGAACTACAATACTATGTAATGAGATGTTTATAGATCAGTGATTCAGGCTTTGTTACTGGGATTGAAACTATACAGCATTAGGTGCTGAGGCCGAAGCACACTCTAAAAACATTGGCTTAAAACTATTATGGCATTAGCTTATGTTTCCCTCAGACTGGAGTCCCATGCAGTGTTCCCTGACCCTAATTACTCCTTCTCTCATGATGCCAACTAGAGCAGCTCTGCTTTGTTTTATATTTTGTACAGCCATTTTAGATTTTGTGTTTAAAAAATGTTCATAGGTTGTTGATGGCTCACATCTGTCATCCTAGCTACTCAGGAGGCTAAGTTCTGAGGAGTGCAATTTGAAGAGAGTCAGGGAAGTCTATGAGATTTATTTCCAACTAACTAGCAAAAAAGCCAGAAGTAGAGATGTGGTTCAAGTGGTAGAACAATTGACCTTGAACAAAAAAGCCAAATGAGAGCCAACAGTCCTGAGTTCAATTCCCAGTACCAGAGCATAAGCATGTGTGCACGCACATACACACAGAGGAGTTTCATTAAGAAAGGATTTAAAAAACGTTTTTCTAATCCAAATGGCCCTAGAAGTGATCTGCAGGATTCTTCAGAAGGCCATCAGTAGAGCTCAGTGACCCAATGTGATGCTGGCATTTGACGATCTGATGTTTGGTAGCAAGCACAGCTTTTTCCACTTCTGAAATAGAAGTGGAAAACTTTCCTGTGGCTGATAGTAAAACAGCTAGAAAGACAAGACAGTTCACAAGAGGAGAAGAACCATTACAGTATTGAGAGGATGTAGAGAAGGGAGTCCAACCCTGTCTCAGTCTTACATTTAAGCCAATTTTTATATAAAATTTGAACTAATGTTCCATTTGTAGGCTCCTCGTGATTAAGACTAAAATCTTCTGATCTAGAAATTCACAGTAAAGCTAAGCAGATTACTTTTTTCAATTAAGAAAAATGGCCCTATTTTAATATTTTGGCATCACACATAAAGTCATGGAAAAGAAAAAAAGGAAAAAGAAGATGCGTTCCAATTTGCTTTTTGATAGGATTTGTTTAGGATTTGCCTCAATTGGAAGCAAACTGACTCTTTCTTTATTGTATCTGGGCATTACTACCAAGTAGCCAACCAGAGAGCAAAATCCAGGCTCCCAACCCTGTCTGCTGTTTGCAGAAAACGGCTGTTTAATTATTTCCTTCTGCTAAGGTCTGACCTACACCAATCCCCTCCTGGGAAGTTCTGTGTCCTCATCTGCACTCAGACTGGCTTCTTCCAAGCAGGCCATTTTATGAATGCAAACACAAGACCTCCTGCAGTTTTAGCCCTCTGTGCTACATAATCACATTCTAATATGGTCAATCCATTATGATTAGGGGTTTTTTTCCCCCTAAAGAGTTGAAGGACAAAAGCCTTATGTGGTCATTTGATTTTCCTTGATGCTTTTGTTGTTTGTTCTGCAAGAAGCTACAGTTCACTGAGATCTCCTTTCTCTTGGATGGAGAGACTCATCCATTCATTTACTCAACACTAATTAACTGAGTGTCTACTGTGTCTTAGCCATTATGCTTAAACCTTAGCTAGGAAGCTGTTCACCCATCTCATAATTAAATTAAATGCAATAAAAGAAAAAGGCCTGAGTTATCTAAAACCACTAAGTACAGAATGCTGAAAAGATAGCGTTTGGATGCTTCCTGTGAAATCACATGACTACCTCAAATTTGGAAAAACAGGACTTGCTTTTAACTCCAAACCAGATTGCACCAAAATGGTCTCACCATTTTACTGTGGCTGGTACAACAACCCAAATCCTAAGCTTCATAATAGAATTTCAAGCAATTTCTAGAAAGAGGGTGGAATAGAATTTCTAGAAAGAGGGTGGATTACCTAGGGAATGAGCCACCTTTGAAAAGACGAGGTTCTGAAAGTTGGCCTGGGGGCAGTCTTAAAGAAACCCCCACCCTGGAGACAGACTAGAAGGTGGTCCAGTGTTGACTGCTTATAAAACAAGTGTCACTCAGGATTCTCAGCTAGTCAAGAAAGGAAAATTACCTAAATTTAACTGAAGCAATAAAAGAATTTACTAGGAGGACATAGAGTGTCCCATGGAAACCCTAGTCAAGCCAGTAAGGCATTAAAAAAAATGGAATGTCATTAAATGAGTTACTGTGCATATCTTTCTAGAAGGTCCCTGTGGTCACTCATTTCTAATTCTCTCTTTATATCTGCTCCATGCTCCCTTCTTGCCCTCTTCAATTCTCTCCTCTGCTTTCCTCTTCTGTCTTCCTTTTCACCCTTTCCAGCCCAGATCAGGTGCTCCTTATTTCCACATTAATATAATAAAGAATGACCTCGCTCTACATGTCTAACACAGGCTAATTACAGAACCAGAGTCTCTGGACTACTTCCAAATCCTCAGAATAGTCACATGAATCAACTCCATCCAGATGGCTACTGTCACATAGCAAATACAAACATAGACTGAGCCTACACTTGCAGTAGGTAATAAGTATACTTTTCAAAAAAAAAAAAGTGTATATGAACCCTGCAGACATTTCATGAGTTGAGAAGACCGTTCTTCTTTCCCCTTACTTAGCTTTTCTTGTTCTAGTCTCTTTCTGCATGCCATCATTCTCTCCACCAATAATTCACTATGAATGGGACCCCCCAGGGTACTAGATCCCAGTATACAGACTCTTACAGATGAGCCCTATAAGAGGCTTCAAGGCCTCTTAGGCCTGCCATGCCCTCTGGCTCAGAATCATGTGAGCACCTGTGAGAGAAAATGACCTACAAGAAGCTGACCCAAGGCTGGGGCCCTTTATAATTCCTCTCCCTAGATGCTGTGCTTCATGCCAAAGATGCAAGTATCTGTTGGGTCTGGGCCTGTCTTGGCAGCTGGGTTGACTGGGCTGGAGGTATGGCTGGATAGGAACAACTTACAAATACCTTAGGCAACCAATACCCTTAGGACTCCTTAGACAGCCAAATTGGAGTCGCAGATGTTTAGCCTGGTCATCTTCTAGATCCTTCTTGAGGCTCCATGAAGGCAAGAGATGAGCAGCAGACATATGCCACCCACAGGCTGTGGTCCCATGAATACGTCCAAGAAAGTAATAGGTGTAGGCTCTCTAGTAAGCAAGTGTCAACATTCAAAAACAAAAGTGGCAGCGGAGGCCAGAGGCCTCTCAATCAACTCTACCCTCTTCTCTTCTTCTCGTGCAGTCATTGATGGGCCCACGCAGATCCTGGTTCGAGATGTCTCCGACACCGTGGCCTTTGTGGAGTGGACCCCACCTCGAGCCAGAGTCGATTTCATTCTCTTGAAATATGGCTTGGTGGGCGGGGAAGGTGGGAAGACCACATTCCGGCTCCAGCCTCCCCTGAGCCAGTACTCGGTGCAGGCCCTGCGGCCCGGCTCCCGCTACGAGGTGTCGGTCAGCGCGGTGCGAGGGACCAACGAGAGCAATGCTGCCACCACCCACTTCTCCACAGGTGAGGCCCAGGGCCGCTCCCAGGTGGTACCCTGGCGAGGGGAGTCTGGCGGGTGTGCAGGGATGTGTGCTGGACATCCATATCATAGAAGCTTCGATAAGGGCAAGAGGTCTGAGGGCCTCCTTCTGCTGTCAGTGGATTAGTAGAAAGAAAGGGCAGTGTGTTCCCGTAAGAAGTGCCAGCTCCTCAGCTCACATCGGTGACTTCATAGAAGTTTCTTCTTCCCCTGGGTCTCAGGTTTCCCCTCTATAAAGGACACGTTTGTCCTTTTATGTCCTTATGCATCCATACTGCCAGTGCAAATGGCAACCTTGTAGGAGTTCGGTGAAGCCACCTCTTCCTCAAGACTCTTTTCTGCTGTTTTAGGAATTCTCTGACTCTTTCATGGCCACAGGACCATGCTGGCATCATGAGCAGACAGATCTTCTGCCTGCAGTCCCGAGATTCATCCTGCCATTTTTCATCTTTAACAATAGAGCAACACACAGGAAGCAAATGGACTTCTATGAATGCATCCTGCCTGCGAGGATGACCTTGGTCCCTTCCTAAATACTCTCCAGCAGTTACACCAACAGTCAGGAAAGGCCAGAGGTCAGGATGACATACGTCCTGATTCTCTTAGCGCTCATCAATCTATCCAGCCAGTTGGCCCACCGGACAGACATCACCCAAAGTGTTGGCTTCTTGACACATAGGTCAGCAAGGGCTGTGATCAGATTGGTGATTGAGTCTCTGTTTAATGTAGATTGTCAGTTTGGGTTTCTTTGCCGTAGGGAGATTGTATGTCATAGAGAAATTTCTGTCAACCCCTTAGTTGTCCCAAGGATCAAAGAAAACCAATAGCATCTGTCAAATCTCAGAGCCAGCAACATCTGACAGAGTCAGGGAGAAGAATCACTAATGCATGGTGTCCTTCTTTTGGGTCATAGCTTCAGGGCCTACAGAATGGAGTCAGTCCAGGCATTTCGAGAAAGCTCAAAACTAGCATCCTTGCTCCATGCTGGTTTTGAATCATTGGTAACTAAGGCAAAGAAGAAGACAGAAGGACATCAAAATATCTCCTCAGTTGGGGCATGTGGCTTAGTGTGGTTTACTATGGCTTAGTGTTACAGCCAGATGGACTTGAAAATTGAAAGGGTAGACCTGAGCTAGTATGTCCATGTGAGACTACTTAGAGTGTGGAGGAACTGGTAGGGGTCAGAGCCCGTGGCCATGTGAGAGTGGACAGGCCATCATTTCGGCAAGTCCTTTTTCCCCAGTGAAAAAGAGAGGCGAAGGGTCTTACAATGGGACTGGTTGCACAAGGAAGTTTTTTACACTGGTAAGCTGGTGGGGTTTTATTCCACAGGAGTCCCTTCCACCCCTCGCAGGAGTTAGCCAGTGGAATTTTTCACTGCACACATCTTTCAATCTTCAAAGACTAAGGGTGCTCCTTGGGAAAAGGAACCAAATGCAGCCCATTTCTCTTCCCATCTTCTCCCTCACGTAATCAGAAGCTGTTTTACATGATGAAGTACGAGGAAGGAGGTCCTGTGATGGTCCCTTCTGGGTTTGAAAATTCAAGGTCAGCCCACATGTAACCCCCCCCACACACACACACTCACACTGCTTGCCTGGGATGCAGTATCTTCTATGGGCCACAAGTCCGGCCTTTCTTTCTTAATTTCAAGACAGTTTGTGTTTGAAAAGTGGTTTCTTTGTGCTCCACTCTGATAAGGAGTTTGAAGAGGCAAAAAAAGAGAGAGAGAGAGCGAGAAAGAGAAGAGGATTCTCAAGCAGAAGAATGCAAAGCAACTGCTTGATGTTCAGGGTTGAGGAGACAGAAACAGGATTGGCTAGTGGCCCAGGAAAATTCCAATCAAGACAATTACATTCCACCTCTTCTGAGCTCCCCTTGAGTTCCAATTCGCTGCTGCCTCATTCCCTGCTTCCCCATTGCCTGGTGGACTGGCAGCTGTTGGGTGATGTCCTTCTTAATGCAAGCCTTTGCCTGCACCTCAGACCTGTTCCCTCTGTTCCTGTAGGAGGAAGGAGAAGTAGGGGTGGGAAGAGAGAAGATGCATATGGCTTGGCAGATAGATGTCAAAGCCCAGGGTTAGCAGGTGCTGGTTGAATGATGAAAGGGTACCTAGGCCCTCACAGTAGGGCCCTCCGTCATTTCAGAACTGTGCTTAAATTCAAATTAACCAAAGTGCTTTTCCAGGTGATGGCTTCAACACTAGGAGAGCACTAATTGCACAGGCAATTAAAACAGAGATTTGCTTCCTGCGTGGTGAATGGGTTTGCCAAGGTCTTTGAGCTGCTCTGGAAAGGAAAAAGCCCTGATAAAAGCACAGCAAGGCCAATGATTGGAGCAAAGCCAGCCCAAGAAATCTGGAGGCCAAGTTCTAAACGCTTCCCCTCCTCCTGGGACTGGCTTGCTCCCCTGCAGTCTATGTGGGCATGCCCCTTAAGATACCTAAGTCAACCATCAGAATATGTGACCTGAGTGCCCCCAGACCTCTTTCTATCACTATGGGTTGAATGTGTCCTCTAAAATAGATGTTGAAGCTCTTGGTACATGTGAATGAATTTGGAAATAAGATCTTTGCAGATAGACAAATTAAGACGAGCTCATTAAGGAAAGCCCTAATCTAATATGACAGACTCCTTATCAAAAGGTGATGTCTGGACACAGAGACAGGACACAGAAGAATGAACATGAAAATGGAGGCAGAGGTACAAGCTAAGAAACATCAAAGATCGACAATTAGTCATTAAAAGCTAAAAGAAGGGTGTGTCACTGACTGGCTCTTAGTGCTTAGCAAGACACAATGCTTTCCTTTTAAGACATCCAGGTTGGGGTACCACCTATGACAGCCCCAAGAAGCAAACATGAACATCTAAGCTGCACAGGTTCAGCCCCACACACACACCCACACCCACTTGGCAGTGACTCCCTCCGGGACCCTTCAAGAAGAAAGAAGGCACAACTTCAACCCAGACAGCACGCTCCACCTCAGCCAACACTGGCTTGCAGACAGCAGAGGAGCTTCCTGTCCCCAAAAGACCAACCGTCTTCATCATACCTGTTTCTTATCCACCACACCTCACCTCAGCCGTCCTCAGAGCCCACCAGCGAAATACCAACAAGACTTTCCTAAAGGCCTGGCACAGCAAACAAAACAAAGATCTGATTATGTGCATGGGATTACTTAATGTGTGTTTACTGAGTATCAGCTGGGTGCCAAGCACTGAGACTGTAAAAGAAACCCGAGAGACAAGATCTTGGTTCACATGCATGATATTCCAATGGGGGAAATTAAACAACAAAACCAAGAAAGAAACAAAACATCAGACACTGATGTAATCTTAGTTTCTGAGAAGGCTAAGACCTGGAGGATTGTGGTTCAAAGCCAGCTTGGGCAGCCAGAGGCTGGAGGCATGATTCAAATGGTAGAAAGCCAGATAAACAAATGTGAGGCCCTGAGTTTAAACCCCAATGTCAGCAAAGAGAGGAAGGGAGGAAGGATGGAAGGGAGGAAGGAAGGAAGGAAGGAAGGAAGGAAGGAAGGAAGGAAAGAAGGAAGGAAGGAAGGAAGGAAGGAAGGAAGGAAGGAAAGAAGGAAGGGAGGGAGGGAGGGAGGGAGGGAGGGAGGGAGGAAAAAGGTAGGGAAAGAAAGAGAAAAAGAAGCATACAAGTTTAGGATTGAATAGTTTGGAAAAGCCTTCTGAGTAAATAACATTTTACTAAAAATCTGTATGACTTAGATCATGTGAGTATCTGGACAAGACTATTCTAGGCAAATTCAAGAGCCACAGCAAAGTTCCAGGGGTAGTAATTAACTGTCTTTTAAGAGAGTAAAAGGTCAGTACAATGGAGTGTAATGGATGAAAGTAGAAGTATGACAAGGTAATGGCTGCAAAGAAGTCAGGGAAAAGGTCTCTCAGAGACCTGAAGACCACAGACATGTTTTTGTTGCTGTTGTTATTTGTTATGCTGGTACTTACGCTGGTTCCTGTTTTCATTTTTTTGTTTTTTATTAGTCGTGGGGCTTGAACTCTGGGCCCGGACGCTGTCCCTCAGCTCTTCAGCTGAAGGCGAGCACTCTACCACTTTAGCCACAGCACCACTTCCAGTTTTCTAGTAGTTAATTGGAGATAAGAGTCTCACAGACTTTCCTGCCAAGGCTGGCTTTGAACTGCAATCCTCAGAGCTGAGCCTCCTGAGTAGCTAGGATTATAGACTTGAGCCACCGGTGCCTGGCTGGTACTGGGTTTTAAGCCTCAATACCTCAGGTTTACTGGGCTTAGTTGCTTAGCTGGTGTTCTACCATTTAGGCCTCATCTCCAGCCTGGTTTTTTGCTGGTTACTTTGAAGACATCATCTCACAGACTTTTCTGTCTGTGTTGGCTTTGAACTCAATCTTCCAGTATCCTGAGTAACTAGGATTATAGGAACGTGCCCTTTCCACAGACAAGTTTTAAGCAGAGGAAACCCTTGATTTAATCTCTGCTTTAGAGACTACATAAAAGCCATTATCAGAGTTCACAGTCCCAAGTCCTTCCACAGAAACCTCTCTTGCCATCTCCCTTCGCCTCACCCCTAGTCTGCCAACATGTTTCAGAGATCAGCTCAGTTCCTGCATATCAGAGGGCTTTCAGATGCCCTTCCTGGGGTATGGACTTCAAGACCCAGAAAGGTCAAGTGATTCCATCTCACCTGAGTTCTGAGGCTAAATTTTTCCAGTGTTCCTTCTAGGAACAACCTCTTGGATTACCGACATCAGAAGTGTCTAGATCTTTCCGTTTCCTCAGCATACAGGCCCTATGACCCAAATGCCAAAATCTATTGCTCTCTGTTGCCAAGACATGGAAGTCATTTGCTTGTTTTATTGTCTGGCTTTTGTTTTCTTCCAGTTACGAACAGCACCACCCATGGGTCTCAGCCTTAACCCTAACCCTAATCAGTTGGGTTTTCTTTCTCTAATTCAGTTCATGCCCCATACCTAGACCCACCCCAGTCCCTTTGCCCAGCCTCCCTTCATGCATGAGGACCAGGGGCTGTGCGTGAGGCAGGTCTCCTCTTCTCCAACATACCTCTGCACCCAAGCCTCTCTCTGTACCCAGCTGCTGAAAATAAACCACAACACTTGCCGAATGCACACTATCCGGCACGATAGCGTACATTGAGCGAAGCAATGTTTCTCAGAAAAGTGGGCTGCAGAGACATAAATCTGCTGAAAGATTCCCCCAGTTTGCATCATTAAACAGAACCACGTCCACCGGAAGCCTCTGCTTTCCGACTGATTCTCAGCCTTCTCCTCTTTACAAGAACAATACTTGTCTGGTATTGGCAAATTACCACAGTCCACTCCAGGGTTTGGGTTGATTTTTTTTTTCTGACTAAATGCCTGGTCCACTCCAAAGTGAAGTTGAACCCTCAAAGAGAAAACTATTTGGAAAAAAATTAAGTCACCATATTTTTCAGGGAAGTATGTTACAATCCTTGCAAGTAAGCCTGAGGTGATGGTCAGTCCTGTGGAAGAGACACAACTCTCCGGGGATTATAGGAAAGACTAACACCAGCAGTCCTCTCGTCACCACAGTCCATGGGCCTTAGAAACAAGCGACCAGGGTCCCATTGTCAGCTCTCATCGAGAGCCTTACAGACCACAGCCAGCCAGCACAGCACTTGGACATCTGTTTCCACACCCAGCACCATACCACCCACTTCACATGCATCTAATCTGTACAGCAACCTGGACTGGTAGCCATTAAGTCCTCAGGGGCAAAAGACATGTTCAGGGTCTCCTTACTGTGTCAGAGACCTGAGTCCAAAGCCCAGATTCTTTCAACCACATCACATCCTCTGGCACTACCTTAACTTTCCAACCTGCAAACCTTTATGTCTGTGCAAGGAAGGCCGGAGATGGGCACCTTGAAATCAAGTACCTTCTTTTTGCGTAGGGCTCAAATCTGCTATTGCACTTTGGGGTCATTCTTGGTTTTTTTTTCTACTGTAAAGGTGGCCTTTGCTTTGTTTCTAAGCTTATAACCTTAATTGGTTTGTTTTACCATTTCTAGAACATCATTAAGACTCTTGAGTGGTTCTGGAGACACTATTGATGTCCACCTCCCAAATAAAATCCTCTGGACTATTCAAAGAATTGATCATAGCAGACCAAAATGCTAAGGGACAGCCATGGGTTTCACTCACCTGTGGAGAAGAGGGTCAGACAGTATGGATTCTGACCACAAAGGTTCTTAAAAGTCGGTGTTGCACAAATATCCATTCCTGTGTGTGATGCTGATGTCTGTCTACTTGTAGAGATTGATGCCCCCAAGAACCTGAGAGTCAGTTCCCGAACAGCAACCAGCCTTGAACTTGAGTGGGATAACAGCGAGGCCGAGGTTCAGGAGTACAAGGTTGTGTACAGCACCTTGGCGGGCGAGCAATATCATGAGGTGCTGGTTCCTATAGGCCTGGGTCCTACCACCAGAACCACTCTCACAGGTGAGTAAGGTCTCTCTTGGGGGCATGATGGTTGTTGGGCCTCTATCCTCACAGCTCTCTTCCTAACTTGATCACCTACAACCAGCCCAAATCCTATTGATTTACTCTCTTAAGTACCTGTCTAATAGGTCTGCTACCTTCTACCATCAGGCCATTGCCTAAGCGAAGTTGCTCCCATTTCTTCCCTGGATCATCACCATCACTTCCCCTATGTTTTCTTCAGCTCTGTCTGATCCCATTCTTAACCCCATCAGAATGGAGCAATCAATTGAAAGAACATTACTGATTATGTCATTGTATTGGACAGACATTCTAGGGACTGCCATTGCTGTCAGGAAAAGCTCCGTCCCTCTGCCCTTCCTGGTTTTCCTTGCCTCCCCCGCGGCCTGCCTCCTCTTTAGCCACTGGTGCTCTCTGTATTCCCAGCCTCAGTTCTCTCCCCGTTTTTTAAAATTTTTCTCTTTTTTTTTGTTGGTTGTGGGGCTTGAACTCGGGGCCTGGGTGCTGTCCCTCAGCTCTTCAGCTCACGGGTAGGCTTTACCACTTAAGCCGCAGCACCACTTCCAGTTTTCTGATGGTTTATTGGAGATAAGAGTCTCACAGACTTTCCTGCCACAACTGGTTTTGAACCTCAATCCTTAGAAATGGTGTGCGTTTACAGTGACTGAGGCATAGACTGCAAGAATCCAGTCATAAGGAGAGGGGTTGGCTGTGCTTCGTATGCCCTCTAATAGTTCGAGTTAATTCTAGAAGGTAGTTGAGAGCCATTGAGGGATTTTGTGTTGTGTTATGTTTTGTTTTGAGATAGGGTCACACAACAAAACCAGGTTGTCCTTGAACTCACAATTTTGTAGCCTCCCAAGCCGCATCCCTCTTGAGGAAGGATTGGAAAGGAGTGATGAGATGATACATACAGAGAGAGGTAAATACGGACAAGGACAGAGGCAGGGAGGCAGGGAGTGCTCAAGAGCCTCTTTCTGGTGTGTGGATTGAAGTGGTATCCAAGGCCACAGTCATTTGCCCATCTGGGAAGCAGTCCTTGCTTTCTAAGGCTGTAGGACTCAGCCAGTGTCCCTTCATACTCATCCGAGAAAACCTTCCGGTCAGACCTCCCCAAAGCACGGGACCTACCCAGGCAGGGCACAGTCTCCAGACGGAGGAGGCCCTGTGCATTGTAGTTCTGGGTCAAGGACTGCCTACATGCTTGCAGAGACTTTGAGTAACTTCTGCCTTGTCTTCTTGCAAAAGCATTTGCTATCTTACTAGACAAAGGAGGCACAGTACGCAAGCGCAGCAATCATAAAGCTGTTTTCCTCCACAGCTGAGATCCCCGATCTCTTTGCCAAATTAAGCCAGTTAAAGTTGGTATCCAAACGGCCTTTTCTAGACAGACACACTCGGAAGTAGCTGGGAAGATATGCTGACCAAGCAGGTAACAGGAGTCAATTAGACATCGAAGGGGGCAAAACAGCTGGTGTTACACGACTTGCAGAGAGCTGGAGACATTCACAAAGATTAAAGCTAAAGAACCACTGAATAATACAAGAGGAAAGATCCCATCCCTGCCTACAGCCACAGGATGACTTGGCAATTAGCAGTTTTACAAAAAATGATGGCTATTGTGTTTGTTTATTTGTTTGTTTGGGGCATCAGCTATGCCTAGTCACGTCCTGATTATTATTCTCCACTGCCAGAAAGGAAAAGAAGATTCTCTATTCATTATCTGTCTTCCACCAGGCACTTTCACATAACTTCACATGTCATATTTAGTCTCATGGTTATTGTTAGCAAGACCATTTCACAGATGAAGAACCTGTGGCTCAGGAAGTCTAAAAATGTGTCCAAGTTCCCAAAATTAGCAGAGGGCACAGCTGTAATTAAAGGTACTTCTGAATCCCATCCTAAAGGCTCTCCTTCCTTCACTGCTTTGACGAAAGAGAAAAAACATTTAAAGAACATCCCATATTTAAATGCCACAGACAGATAAGGAAATGATTTCTGGACTTAAGTAGGTTGAACTTATGGAGCATATATTACATATATCATGTAACTTACATGAGAATTACACAGGAAAATAACCTGATTTAAAAAGAAATTGTAGCCATGTAAGAAAATCAAGTACAGGACATTAGTGACAGGGATTGTTTTCCCTCTTGCCACAGAGGAAAAAAAGAAAGGTCCATGTAGAAGAGAAAGAGGAAAGAGAGAGAAGTTTGACTATAGCTCAAAATATTTGTGTTTTCATACCAGGTGCAACTAGCTCACACCTGAATCTTAACTACTCAGGAGCCTGATTTGAGAATCAAGGTTCAAAGCCAACCTGGGCAGGAAAGGTCTGAGACTCTTATCTCCAATTAACTACCAAAAAGCTGAAAGTGGAGCTGTGGCTCAAGAAGTAGAGCACTACCCTTGAGGAAAAAAAAAGCTATAGCACCCAGGTTCTGAGCTCACGGCCCCAGTACTGGTGCATATACGTGTGCGCGCACACACAAATCGTATTTTCTCCATCTCTCCCCTGACTTGGACCTTACCATTCTTCTTCCTCCAAGGCCTTTGTGGGATGCTGAGAACCACAGTTTCATTCAAAGGCTGAGCTCTGTGCAGTGTGCTCAGAACTCAGCTTTTGACCTTGGATCCAGGTTCACCTGTGTCATTTAGGGTGCCTTGCCACCTTTCTAAGCCTCTGTTTCTTTGTCTGTAAAGAGGGGACTGGTCTCATTCTTCTCAGAGTCATGGAGGTTTTGAGGAGCTCAAGGCAATGCTGCTGACCCAGAGGGAGCTCAGCGGAGGAACGGGGTGAAGCAAAAGGGGATGTGGAGATGTGTGAGCCCAGGGATTATTTTAAACGACCTTCTGTGATCAGCATGGGACCCAAAGTGGATGTGGAAGCCAGCATCACTGAGGAGATGTTAGAGGCCTCTTCCCTTAGACCTACTGAGTCAGACCTGAGGTTCAGGGCCCCAGAAAATTCACGGACACATTCGTCGGTGAAAAACACTTCCTTCGAGCATGGGTTTTGTGGTCACCCTCCTCGGTTGTGAGATGTGCATCCTTAAGCAAATCTCTTAAATTCCCCGTGTGTCAGCTTCTTCTCCAGGGACCTACTTCTGCCTCCTAGGGTTGCTGTGCTAAGGAAATGAAGTCACACAGACAACTCTGACTCTTGACGAAGCAGAGAATGCAGCCTGGCCCACTCAGAGCACGCAATACCCACTGGATTTTTAAGAAATTTATTTATTGTCTCTCCAAGCCCCAACCGGGGCTCATGGCCTGTTGGTTTTTTTCCTGACATGCATTCAAGCCTCTCTTTCTCCCCATAGCTGACCTCTATCTTAAAGCAAAGCCACACCTGTCCTTCCTGTCCCTTACAGGTACCCTGTTTTCAATGCTACCCCTGGCTCTTTTGCTGTGAAATCCAGGTTCTTCCTATCTCTGGGAGCTTCGAGTCTTTCAGAGGACTCAGAGCATGCATGCCCCTCTGACCTCCCTGTACCAACCTCAGTCTTGGCCACACAGGACCCAGGCCAGGATCTAAAAATGCCATCAATTCTCTGCACACCATGCCCAGAGAATTCCCTCTGGACTATGAACTTGTTTCTCAACAACAGACTCAGTGACCGCAGTGATTTTTCACTCTGTTCTGCTCGCTTCTGTGTCCTTAATGATAAGGTTTTTTTGAGCCTTGGTCTCTTAGCCTGAATAAAGTCTGCTTGGCCTATGACCCATACAAAGTCCCCAAGGGGGTCCCAAGTGCCACCCGGCTTACAGGCTTGTCACGGCCCCTCCAGGTTAGACGTCGGCTCCATCCACCAGAGACTGGCAGCATACTCTGCCTCCTGACGGTGAGCCATGTATAAGACAGCTGCTGTAGGGGGGCAAGGAAGGGGGAGGAAAGGGGGGACCTTGGGTCTCTGGCTGGGATGTGGCCAAAGACATAGCCTCCCTGCCTGGGGCTGATGTAAATTGTGCACAGTACATTGGCCACCATTCCTAAAGTGACGCCTCTGATCTGTCTTCAGGAAGATGAATGTGACATGTGTTGCCAGGACTGTAGAAGGGTGCATCTTCTGCTGCCTGGACTCTCCCCACAAAGCTCCCTCGTGGACAGAGGACATGCTTGTGGATCTCTGTGACAAGGAAACAAGGATGAAGGAGCTGGCCCAATATGGTGCCTCATGAAGCACTTCCCAGGCAGATGCCTCCTTGTACACTGTACCTCTATCTGCTCATCAGAATAAACACCAGCCAACAGGGTCTCAAGACACTGGGACAGAGCATAGGACTGCAAGAAAACAAACAGAGGCAGCCACACAGGCCAAACTCACAGATGTGCTCATACACAAATACACACATGCTCACACGCAGGCACTCACATTCGCATACCCACACATACTCGCATGTACACACACTTACACATCTCTCATGGTGTGCCACACCACTCTCGTACACATTCATATGCATCATTCATGCATACGCACAAGTCCTCACACACCCCCATGTGGACACACACACACACACACACGGCTGGTGTTTGCAAGCACACCCCAATCAGATTAAATGATCAGCCATTTTCAAGGCCTCTGGTTGCTGCAGGACACGGGGCAGGACCACCTATCAAATCTCTCATTTTGTCCTCAGGGCCCACATGGGATCGAGTATTGGGAAAGTGAGTTCCTCATGGTACATCAGCCAGAGATGTGCTTGTCTCAGGCAGAATCTGATATTCCAGAGTGTGACTAGCAACTGCACATTGACCAGGGCGCTTCAAGTCCACTTCATCCTGCCTGCACTCCCCTGATGTGCCAATGGACAAACACCAAACCCAGAGCCAGGCCTCTGAGGCCCTGTGGACCTTCTCCTTGGGAGGAGGAGTCCAGATGCTGAGCCTGGGGACTCCTAGGCCAGACTGCTCTCAGTTTCCTTAGAGCAAAGTCACAGTGACCCCAAGTGGTCACTCTGGTAAGGTACTCTCTAAGATGGCATCTGTCAAGATGGCAGGAAAGTGGGCAGTGGGCTGCAAAGACCCAAGCAGAAAGGGAAAGAAAAAGCAGAGGGTTCTCCACAGCTCCCTACAGAGCTGAGGGGCCACCCCTCATTTATGCAGTAAGCCTAGAGGAACAGGAACCAAGAGGAAAGACAGGTAGGAATGTCTCAGCTTCTAACTTGGGCTTCTTCAGCAGGGAAGGCTTGTGTAAAGCCGGTTTGAAGCTTGTTTAAAATGAGGTGCTCTACAGTACAAAGGATGATCAGCCACATTCCTCATCAATCTCACTGGCAATAAGGAAATTCTATTTGAGAACTATCCATATTAGTATTATTTTTCTTTTCAACTATGGATTGACAATCCAGATGGGGTTAACTGCTTCCCTTGATCTCACACACACACACACAGAGGTGTCCTTGAAAGCCTAACCCATGGAACCCTGAAGAGGCACCTTCTTATCCGAAAAGAAGATCGTGGAGACCTGAGAACTTAGCTGTCCATTTAACAGGGCAGATGGGTGTTTGTCCGGTGTGACCTCAGAGGACTTTTGAGAGATTGTCTATAAATGTCTCTCCGTGTATGAGTCTTTAAATTCCACCACTGGGAAATTTGTCTATATGGAAGAGGTTGACTTTAGATCTTGGTTTCATGAATGATTTTGCCAAATCCACCTCTACATGTGCTGCCCAGATGAAGAGACTGACCTCAGACTCTGTGGAGTCAGTGTCTTCCATATTCTCCTCTCTGGGAAGGCATGTGTCCGGTGCCCTGGAGCAAACAACCTCCCTATCTCTGGCTTACTGAGACCCCTAGGAGATAAGCCTGGATTTAGAGTTGGAAGGGGAGTGAGTCCTTCTTTTGTCACTATGGTCCTTGCTGTAGAGGTGAAACTTTTCTCATTACCATTGCTTTCCAGCCCTCATTAACCTATTTGCCATGCCACATTTGGGCCACCAGGGATTTCCAGTTTCCCTTCCCCTTTCTTTTGTTAATCTTTGCTAGATTTAAAGATTCAACTCAAGTCCTTGCTCCGCTACACAGTCTACGCTGATCACATCCTGTCTGAAGAGGCTCTTGGCAGTAGAGAATCACTCCCAGATTCCAGTTTGCTTATTTACTCCAGTCCCTGAAGCCCACTTTTAAGAATCTTATGGACAGAGATCAGAAAGAACAAGGGACTTGGTTCTAATCTAGGCTTTATCCTAGAATAGCTTTGTGACTTCTGTCAAGGGGTAGATTTTTCTGAGCTTCTGTTTGCTCTGCTCCCAGAGTTGCAGGGAAGGTACATTAGGTAACATGCTTGGACGGCTAAGAGGCCATGCCTAACAACTGCCCTCTTTGCCATCAGTTGGTTAGATCAGATGGTCAAAACTTCATTTTGTACCCCCTCTTTTTACTAACCTTTTCTTGGCTATCCTTCTAGATTCTCTATTGCATAAAGTTCAGTGCTTGGTATGTCATGAGCATTCGATGAATAATTTATTTGTAGGGTGCAGATTCTACTTCATCCCCTAAAAAGGATCAGGTCTGTTCAGCAGACCAGATATCCACAGCCCACAGCTATGTGCCTGACACAAAAGAAACCCTCAATAATGTTTGTGGAGAGGAGGAGCTGATGCCTTCGGGATTCAAAGAATGGATGTATGACGAAGGGGTTGAAGAAAAGTGTCAGCCTCTAAGCTGAACAAAGGCTGTTCAGTAAGGGCTGGAGATGGTGATTTCCTACGGGATGGATTTTCAGACCTTCTGTTAAGAAAGGGAACAGCCATTTGTATGCTACCACTTGCAGGAGTTGGATGGCAATGTAAAAGGGGCCTTGATAAAGAGTAATGGTGTCTTTAAAGTGAGAAATCCCTGGGAGTACTCAGAATCTGATAGAGAAGTACACTAGCTATGCCTCAGATACATATTTCCAGCACAACTGCATTTTACCTGCCGGCCAAGAAGCAACAATTCACTTGTAGCACACGAAGAAAGCTGCTGGAAATCAAAGGGAAGCAGCAGGCGTAGCCCCATAACCAAGTCCCACTTCTCCATTCCATCCCCTAGACAGGAAATCCAGGAAGAGAGTGCTTTGAATTCTGCTCTGCCGTTTTTGGGGGGTGGGGAGGAGAAATGATTCTGTTGTAAATTATTGACCATTTCATTTAAGCTTCATAAATAAGAAACTCAAATGAAAATGTTACATGTTAGATCCGTTTGGCAACGTATAATTTCTGTCTTACTCCCTCGATCTGTCACCCTTTATCTACAGTGGAGAATTTCTGCTTCATTATAGGCAATTGAAGGTCTCAATCAGATGCCTGAGGGAGGCAGTTTATATCTCAATGGTAATCTAATTTCTCCAACCAAGGACGTACAGAAGACTCACTAAACATACAGACAGAAATAGATATGAGCTTTGAATAGCTCTGGAGGTGTTGCAATCTCTCAATCTAAGAACAGGCATTCAATTCAGCCAGGACACCCAGACTCCTCAAATTGATTGGTTCCCATCAGAGCCAACAGGCTAATCCTGTTCCAGCCAACCAGAGACTGTACACCGGGAGAACTTACACAGGATCACACTTCCAAAGATCACCGACAGGGTGACCTTACTAACTTTCTAAGACTATCAGCAAGTTCATGAACTGACCAGTTCATCTTGTTGATTTTGTACAGATGTCCTAAGTAGTAAAATTGGAATTCTCTAAAATATAAAATTAGGAGCAGACTCAGAAATCTAAACAGAGGATGTGAATAGGCATCTAAGAACTGTCTTCCCTCCTTTCTGACTTTCCAATCCATTCCTCCTCACACCACACACACACACACACACACACACACACACACACACTGAATAATGTTTGTCTCTTCATCTCCTGACAGATCTGGTACCTGGCACTGAGTATGGAGTTGGAATATCTGCTATCATGAACTCACAACAAAGTGTTCCAGCCACCATGAATGCCAGGACTGGTGAGTAGGAGAAGGGTAAAGAAGAAGACCAGGTAGACAGCAGGCCTCAGCATCCACAGAGGCATATTTTGCCAGGATCGGTCAGAAGGCAATGTCCCCTTCCCCTGTGAGCAGGGCCCTAGCAACCACCCCATGCCTAACATCTGACATCTGAGGTATAGAATGGTGTTCCACTTGGTCATAGATCTGTATTTCATTCCCCAGACCTGAAGGACTGTCCAAGGTATGCAGAACAGATGTAAAAAAACCCAATAATTGGTGCAGAAGCAAGCTGTATTTCTATCTACACCAGTCCCTATCAGGAAGAACGTGGCATCCTCAGCCTATATCACAAAACCCTCAAAAAGGTTGTCAAAGAGAAGGCTAGACTTGAACAAACAACCTACTAAATCCAAGGGCAGTAGAAGAATCCACTTGAGACCCTGTTGCTCTAGGTCCAAACGTTTTGCTTCCAAATCCTTGGTAAATTCTAAAGTCACTCTATTGGTTTAGGCATAAGCAGCCTGATCTGGGCTAGGTTGGGCTACAGATTTGGAATTAATACTTGTTTTCCCAAGGTTCAGTCTAGCATAGACAATCTCACGAGAGAAACACTGGACAAAACATGCAGCCTTCAGATGTAGATTCTCATGTGTCTCTGGTTACGAGCCAAAAGGACCTCTGGGACCAGGGCCGGAGAACCAAAGGAAATTACTGATGCCAGCTTTCCCCTGCTTGGTGGTGGCTCCCATTTTTCCCTCGTTGGGTTACTGAGATAGGCTGAGTGATGAAGAACATAGAGAGGTCAAGATTCAACAGCCAGCTTATTCCCAGAGGTGGATGTCTTCAAGTGGGGGGCAGTCTGCCTTTCTGGACACTGTCCATCTGTGTGGAAATCCAACTATCAGAGAAGGTGCTTAGCAAAATATGACAAGCTAGCACCCCTGGCTAGCAGGCTTGCTGATAGATTGAAAACACAGAGGGAGGTCCTAAAGTACTGAGCATCCTGCGGAACCTGTGTAAACTAGGGCACTTCTATTGATCCACAGAACTTGACAGTCCAAGAGATCTCATGGTGACAGCCTCCTCAGAGACATCCATCTCCCTCATCTGGACCAAGGCCAGCGGCCCAATCGACCACTACCGAATTACCTTTACTCCATCCTCTGGGATCGCCTCTGAAGTCACTGTGCCAAAGGACAGGACTTCATACACACTGACAGATCTAGAGCCAGGAGCAGAGTACATCATTTCTATCACCGCCGAGAGGGGCCGGCAGCAGAGCTTGGAGTCGACCGTAGATGCCTTCACAGGTATCAGGGTAGCAGAAATTCGAACCCAGGGGCAGGCATCAATGGATCTTAGTGTAAGAAAGCCATCTAGGTAACCCTCTTGCAAAGATCCATTTCCTTCAGAAAAAAAAAGATAATTAAAAGAGAGGTATAAAAAAAGAAGCGATGGAAGGTAAAATGGTACATACATTAAGAGGGGATGGCTGGAAGTGAAGCGGAGAGGTGAGCAAGGATGCTACATGCCCAAACATGTGTGTCTGCTTTCCCGTAGCCTGGACATCATAATTGATTCTGTCCATCTTTCCTTGCCAGCATTAAGTCAGTGGGTATTTTGAGGATCCGTGGCATCCTTATCAAATTCTCTCCAGGACCGAAGTTTTAAATCCTGGAGGAGTATTATGAATAACTTACAGAGTTATTTTGGTTCTGTCATGACTCATTTTCAGCATAGGTCTTGGGAAGAGTACAGTGGACGGGACTGGGGTGTGGAGAGGTAGGACCTCTGGCCCACTGCCTGGAGACATAGCTCTCGTAAGCAAAGAGAAACGATTCCTGCAGCCAAGTGGCTCGTCTCTCCCAATGGCTCACCATCTCACCTGCATTTCAGCAGCATCTGTCTTCTCCTCTGCTTTGCAGGCTTCCGCCCCATCTCCCACTTGCACTTTTCTCATGTGACTTCCTCCAGCGTCAACATCACCTGGAGTGACCCGTCTCCCCCGGCGGACAGGCTCATTCTGAACTACAGCCCCCGGGATGAGGAGGAGGAGATGATGGAGGTCTCCTTGGATGCTACTAAGAGGCATACTGTCCTGATGGGCCTGCAGCCAGCCACTGAGTATATTGTGAACCTGGTGGCTGTCCACGGCACAGTGACCTCTGAGCCCATTGTGGGCTCCATCACCACAGGTAAGGTTGGAAGACTTGACAGTGAAGGGCCAGTTTCACAGTAGCCCTTAACAATTCCATGAAATTTCAAAAGAGAAATACTCAAGCAGTAGGAAACTACCTCGATGGCTAGAGAGGAGACCCTGAACCATGCTGGAGCAGCTACTTTTTTCTCCTGCTGCATGACATGAGCAGCTGTCATTTGGAAAAGTCGAAGAGATCTGATATCCTGAGGAGGCAAAATGTAAGGGATGGATTGATCTAGAGGTCAGCCAGCCAAGGAGAAAGCCGTGGGAGAAGCCGATCTTCAAAGGAATCCCTAAACAATGAAGAGAAACCTGTTCCTATTCTGGGGAGCCATTTCTGACAGCCAAAAAGGGTCATGAGGCAAATGATGCTCCCTCAGCATTACACAGACCGGGCAAGCAGATGTGCAGGGATTTGGTGTTCAGAGACTGGGATTCATTGGCACATTGCTTGGAAAACCCAGGCACTCTGAGCCGAACAGAGTCATTTACACCACATCATCCACAGGTACAGCCCCTACGGTGGCGTGTTTGTGGGGGAGAACCAGTGTCTTCTGGTAGTTTCCTACAAACTGATGAGAACTCACAAACTGGACCAGTGGTTTAAACATTTGACTGATTCAACCTTGTGATTGCCTAGCAGGATTTAAAAAAAAAGTATACAGCTTAAATGAAATACAATTTAAGAAAGTAGATTTGTTCTAGACTTTTGCTCTGAAATCCCTTTATCGTCAATAGGCAGTTTTTCCAGATTGAACCCAAGGTGGCCACTAAAATATAAGAGATACCAGCAGGGTTGATTTTTCCCAGAGAAGTCAGCTTGAGGAAATATAACTATGCTGTTGCCAATTCAAGACAGAACAAACATATGGACTTAAAGGAAAGTTTCTAGCTGTCCTTCAGATATTTATTGCATAGACACTGATCTAGCCAGCTTGGCTTTGTGCTATTAAGGTGTTCATGAACATGCCTTTGCCCATACCTACAATGTTTCAGGTGAGCCATCAGACAACCTGACTGTGTCTTTAAGGATGTACCATTACATACCAGGGTTTGTCTGCCTCTGAGACACCATTTGCTACTGTCTAAAACGAGGGAAAGAAATTCCTTTTTCAAACTTTCTGTCTTTTTCCCACAACCATCTGGATCTTGTAGGAATTGATCCTCCCAAAGACATCACAATTAGCAATGTGACCAAGGACTCGCTAACTGTCTCCTGGAGCCCTCCAGCTGCATCTTTTGATTACTACCGAGTATCATATCGACCCACCCAAGGTAACAAAGTTCTTTGATTTCTCCAAGATGAATCAGACTTGAAACCGGGAGGAGATTATTATGGGAAAGCTATAACACCCTTGCCCACTGCTTTGCTCCTCTGTGGTGTGCTCCCTCTAAAAAAGAGTGAGTCACGGAGAGCTGCTAGGAAATCCTGCACTCACCAGATCTCTCAAAATAGGCTTGATGACGTCCACCCTGAAAGCTGGCCCTCTGTCAGCAGAGGTAACTGGTCTCCATTATCTAGGTCATTCCAGGAGAAACATACAGCCCTGAAAGGCTTTTCCAAGAGCCAGGGCTACGTGCACTCTCCTGAGAGAGTAAAGTCCAATAGTGGAATCTGGGGATGGCTAAAGACCCAACAGAGCCAGATGGAGCCTTGGGGGGGAAGCTCAGTGACGTGGTTCTAATTTGGCCACTCCAGCCAAGTTATGAGTCAGAGGAAGCTGGCTCAGACCTCACCTGAGTCCTGCCAGTTTGTACACGCGCCTGTGGCATGAATAAGGAAGGTGAAGGGTAGCTTAACTACAAATAGAGTTGGGACAGCTATATAGACCCACTCTAATGACCCACTCCATACCACCTTAACGAACAGGCCAGCTTCTTAGAAAAACCACATAAGAAGTAGCTTATTTCTCTGTGCTCCAAGAAGCCCATAGAATGAAAGGTAGTAACACTCAGCACCATCCCTTCAAACTCCAACATCCCCAGGGCATCAGCTACTTACGGTCCTTCCCACTGCGCGCTGAGCCCACACCCATCTGTGCTTTATGATACAATGCCCCATGTCTATCGAAGAGGCATGAACCAACTGCAGAGAGCGCTTGGGGGCTTTAACAGTGGATTCTGTTCTTCAGTGGGACGGCTGGACAGCTCAGTGGTGCCCAACACGGTGTCAGAATTCACCATCACCAGGTTGTACCCAGCTACCGAATATGAGATCAGCCTCAACAGCGTGCGAGGCAGGGAAGAGAGTGAGCGCATCTGCACCCTTGTGCACACAGGTATGCACAACTCCCTGTTGTCCATCAAGTCAAGGTACAGGCTGAGGACCCGAAATGGGTTTTGTGGTGTCTCTTCCCACAGATAGTTCTGCTTAGTAATAAGAATTTGGGAGTCATCCCCTAAGCATCTTGCTGGCTTGAGTTAGGAATTTTCATGGTGCCTCCAATATAAATAGTACCTGCGTTTCTTTCTGTTGTGGTTATTGTTTGGTTTTGTTTGTTTAACAGTTTTCAACAATACTAAGTTTGAACTTAGGGACTCTAACTCACTAGGCAGGCCTTCTACCATTTGGCTCATGCTTCCAGATCCGTTTTTCTTAATTATTTTTTTAAATAGGGTTGTGTTGTCTGTGACAAGTACTCTTGCTTTATGGTCCAGGGAGGAAGAAGGCGGTGGAGGTGAGGCTGCTCACAGCATGCAGAGCTGTCCTCATGGAAAGTCTCTGTTCTCCAGTGGACCAGTTGGATTATGGGATTCTGATCTCCTCTGCATTCACAGTCAGTTCCTATGTAATGAGCCAGAGAAAAGTGGGGAGGGGGGAGGAGTGACCAGCTCACACTATGAGAGAAAACAAGGAAGAGAAGGCCACCTCCCATGCCTTTCTCTGGGAAAGAGGCTCACAGCCTTTAAGAAGCTCTACTGTCCCTACCTCTTTAGGCTCTTTAGCAACACGATCATGCAGAATTAGCAAAGAGTTGATAGAGAACTAGAGAACACCTGGGCATCTTGATGTTGCTTCATTTCTCTGGATAATGCTGTTTCCTAGATGAGAGAAATGGGCCTTGGAATTCCTCACTACTTTTATAGATTTTTTTTCTCACAAACTCAAAACAGCATTTCTTGGGCAATGACCAAAAAATTCTTTCACAAACATAAAGATTTATTCTTCTAAAGACAACGCAGGGTATTCTGATCTTTCCTAGTTGCCATTTCAATCCATGACTATGGATAACCGTCAGTTGCATTGTTGTTGTATATGGTCTGGCTTCTACCCTTTATATTATCATGATCATCTAAGTATCTGGTCAATAAATGTTGACCACAGTCACATCTAGTAAGCCAAAAGAAGCTGCTTCCCACCTTCCTGAAAACCCTAGAAATTTACGTTACAAAAAAAAAAAAGCAGATGTTTTGTTATTGAAGACAATAGAATGGATTTTTACAGGCTTTCGCCCCCAAGTTAAAGAGTGGCAACTTGGGTCAAAATCTCCTTCCTTGCATTTTGGCCATAAGCAGAAAGACTCTCTTAAGCAGGTAGGCAATGGACACCAACCTAAGCTGCCTTTCGTTGAGTTTAGAAAGAGATATCAGGGCAATTTCTGATAGCTCTATTGTCTTCCCAAGTATCTCAGTTTGTTGTTGTTTGTTTATTGCATCTATAGATCTTGCAACTTTTAGAAATGAGTACTTCTTGAGGGCTTTATGCGTGCTTATAGGAATCAAGAAAACTCTTTTATTTTTGCCAGTCCTGGGGCTTAAACTCAGGGCCTGGACACTGTCCCTGAGTTTCTTTTGCTCAAGACTAGCTAGCATTCTACCACTTGAGCCACAGCGCCACTTCTGGCTTTTTCTGCTTATATGGTACTGAGGAATCAAACACAGGGCTTCATGCATGCTCGGCAAGCACTCTACCACTAAGCCACATTCCTAGCCCCCAACTCTTTTTTAGTAAAAGCTATATGTGAAGAACTCATTGAAGGCACAGCATAATTTTAAAATTGTAAAGTTATTTCCTGGGTGAGTATTACATATGATGAGAGCTATAGCAAGGAAAAAAGCAAAGTGACAACAGCAACAATAAAACCCCTCCACCTTCAATCAAAAACCAGGGGTAGATCAATAGCAGATCACCATTCCTCAGGGAATCTGGACGAAATTTAGGTTGGGCTCATATCTAAACTGTTATAATATCCATTTCTAAAATAAATCCCAATGTTATGAAAGGAAAGCATGTAATAAAGCAAAAGCCTATACCATAGGTAAGTAGAAACAGATGGTCTAATGACAAACAAACTCTGTTCCCCCATCAGACACTCTTGGCCTTCCTCAGCCTGTAAGGATCCCCTGAGCTCTCTCTGAACTGAAAAGGAAACGTACCCTGGACTGAGTGCAGAGTGAGCCTTGGGAGGAGTGAAGCAAGAATTCAATAGCAGCCACAATGCTGAAGCCACGCTGCATCCCATACCGTCATCCCACAAGGCCACACTGAGCTCCTTCTGAGTTCCTGGCCTGAGGCTCCAACCACTTACTGAAGTTCATCAACAGAGATCTTCCCACACCCCTGCGTTTATGAAGCTAACTATATAGGGCGACTTCTATATTTCTTTCTTTTCCAACTACACTTAAATATTTAAAGCAAAACAGAACCACTCCCCCATTGTCCCTGTCACAGTACTTTGTGTGTAAGCGGTTAATGGGGCAGGCGTGATGGCGCACGCTTTTAATCCCAGCTATAATCCTTGGTGTGTGGATGAAGGAGGATTGTGATCCAAGGCCTGCTGGGCAAAGTTAGCATGAGACCTTATCTGAGATACAAACCAAACGCTGAAGGACTGGGGTGAAAGGCTCACCGAGTAGAGCACTCACCTAGAAAGCAGGAGACCCTGAGTTCAATTTCCAGTATCACTAGTCTCCCATAGAAAGAAGTTAATTAATTAAAAGAAAGAGCAAGCAGCAACCGTGGAAAGAACTAGACAAGAAAGGGGGTGCTGGCACCAAAGGCAAGGCAGGGAGGGGCCTCCACTCACGTGACCAGTTCATCCACCCAGCCTCAAAGGCATCATCAGAAACTTGGGTGGTCTGGTGCACTTGCAGCCTGCCAGCCCTCTTACCTTTCCCTGCTGCTCTTCTGTTGCACTCCAGCCATGGACAATCCTGTGGGTCTGACTGCTACCAACATCACCCCTACAGAAGCTCTGCTGCAGTGGAAGGCTCCAGTGGGAGACGTGGAGAACTACGTCATCGTCCTCACATACTTTGCCGGTGAGTGCCTGCAGGCCTGGGACATCAGACAGATGGGGAACGTGGGGGCCGGAGCGTCAGACCAGGATGGTAGAGAAGAGAGACAAACTGGAAAATTTCCCTATCACATCCTTAACCTAAGGGTGGCTCGTGCCTGTAATCCTCCCTACTCTGGAGGTACAGATAGAGATGATCACACCTCGAGGCCAGCCTGGGGACAAAGTTAGCAAGTCACCATCTCAACGAATAAGCCAGATGTGGTAGCAAGTACCTTGTGGTCCCAACTACAGGAGAAGCTGTAGGTAGGAAGAGTAGGGCCTAAGACCGGCCTTGGGTAAAACCACAAAACGCTATCTGAAAATAACTGAAGCAAAAAGGGCTAGGCCATGGCTCAAACGGAAGAATGTCTGTACTCTTGAACTCGCTGAGTTCACACTGCAGTTCTACTACTACTACTAAAAATAATATTAATGCTATCAATAATAAACAACAATAATAATATCTCTGCAGTAAAAACTCTGTAAACTATCAATGATAAGAATTGTCTAAGCTGAATCTGAAAGGTGTAAGAATGCCATGGAGCAAACTGCCAAATAGAGATGTCACACCAGTAAGACAAAACTCAGAATTAACATTTGTCCCAAAGCAAATTTTTCTAAATATTTTCATAACAAAAGAAAAACCACCACCAACAACAACAAAATGAAACCATTACAGGTTTAAGACCAAGCTTGGGGTGGATAAATATATATGAACAGGTGATAAAGAATTCAGATTTGTTGAAGTTCTCTTAACCACATCAAACCTCAAGAGGCTGAACCAAGATGAAATCTTGAATTTCAATTTCAATGTCTTCTTCAGCATCTTTAGTGACCTTATACTGTTTGAAAATGAATAGAGGAGCCCAAAAGTAAAATGTGTTGCATACATCAGATCTTTAATCTTAGGAAATGCATTCCTCTGCTTAAATTAAGTATGAGAGTACAGGATTAATATGGGTAATAGCCAAGAATCTAGAGGACAAAGATACCAGAAAAGAGAAGGCAGGAAGATGTTTTTACTTCAAAAATGGAAGAGAAAGGCAATTCTGTAAGCTAGCTGCAAAGATTATACTATTGTCATATCTTGGAAAAGTGAGATCCAAAAGAGACTATCAAACAAAAGAGGAAAGAAATTAGTGATTACTACATACCAGCATAGCTGAAGTAAGAATAAGTTTTATCAAAACTACTTTGTAAATTTGTTTTTCTTATCTGTTAGCATATTTGTGTCTTAGCAAGCCATTAGAAAACTCTTTATCAGTTCATCCTTTGCTAAAATGGAAAAACACAATAGATTGTATTTGCACTTTGCTGGAACTATAACTGGCAAAACAGCTCTCCTCAACAAACAGATATCATTTACTCCGGATGCTTTAACTTCTCAGTGTTCATGCACACTCCATCCCAACTCTTACCTGCCCTGCACACATCATAACCCTGCACGTTTTAACTCTTGCTATGTCTTCTTAATCCTCTGTGTATTTGCACAAGCTCTCTCCTTCACCAAGAAAGTCTCTTCCTTCAGGGTCTCCCCGAAGAATCCATACTTCAATTGTTAGTTTCAATATTCTCTTCCAACACCTCCTTGATTCCCCTAAGAAAGCCCCACACCTGCTTCCAGGTAACATGCATATAGTTCCATCACAGTAGTTGGCTTTGACTTTCCATTCATTCAACAAATACTTTTTGACACCTCCCCATGGACTATATATGCTTTAAAGATTAAGAATGAGCAGCTCGATATGGTGATGTATGCCTGTAATCCCATCTACAACAGAGGCAGATATCAAGATTATTGTAGGTCAAAATATAGGAAAAAGTTAACAAGATTCCATCCCAACCAATAAGCCAGACATAGTAAATTACATCTGTAGTCTCAACTGTACAGAAAGTATAAATAGGAGGATTGCAGTCCAAGGCCAGTTTCAGGTAAAAAAAAAAAAATGTGAGAACCTATCTGAAAAATAACTAAAGCCACCAGGACTTGGGGGGTCAGAACTTAAAGTGGGCTAGCAGACTTGAGGCCCTACATTCAGACACCAGTACCAAGAGAGAGACAGAGAGACAGAGGCAGAGCTGTATATATTTTTCCAGTTAGTTTGGATCACTTTAACTTTCTTATGTGCCTTTTTATATGCTTAGACCACAATACACATGAAACATCAGGCCTTACTTAGCTTGAAGATGTGTCTAATAAACTTTGTTCAAGTCTGAGGTATGATCCAAATTTACTCTAATTGAGCAACAGAGGGCTTGGCTCTGATCTGATGAACAGTTTTATCAACAGCTTGAATGAATTCTGAGAAGACTTGTGTATACAACAAAATTGATTGACAGAGTCTAAATTCAAAAAAAATATTTTAATAAACTCAAACAGTAATCCAAAACTTAATCAACAAGGCAAAATGCCAAAGAAATAGAAGCAAAGCTCTGGGAACATCCCCCACCCCAACCCTGCCCCTAGGGAGCAAAAAGAAAATAAAGAAAAAATGGGGTGGTGACAAACAATGTCTTTGATTAACATTAATCTCAGCCTATGACAACAATAATAAGTAGATGTCCCAAACCCTATATGAATAAATGGCAAAAAGAAGCAAAGACCTGCCTGTTTTGCATCTTGATGGTTCTCACATTCCTCCAAGGTTTGCATTTCATCAGGGACACTGATAAATTGTCACGTTGCCAGACAAAAGAAGCCAGCATTGTGAAAAACTTTGGAACTATCATATAAATACTATGGGAGGTGGGAGCAGATTTTTTCTAATCTACAGGAGAGAACACTTGAATAGGAAGAGTGATAGGAAGGAAAAGGCTTTTGTTTTTTTTTCTAACTCCAGAGACCTGAACAGACAATATAAAGACAATTTAGATTCCATATAAGGGATATGTTTCATGAGATTTTAAAAAAGAAATGAGAGGAGAGATGCTTGTGTGGAATAAGATGCTAAACTCAATAACCTATAACTTCTGGGTTACAGGTTAGTAAACTTCCAGTGGATAGGTTAATAACCTAATAAAAGCGTCTAACACTGACGCCTGTAAAAATGCCTTTACGTTTGGTAGGCCTTGCCTCCATACTCATTCCTCTCCATACTCATTTCAGTTGCTGGGGAGACCATTTTGGTGGATGGAGTCAGTGAGGAGTTCCAGCTCGTCAACTTGCTTCCTCGCACAAACTATACGGTCACCATGTACGCCGCCAGTGGGCCCCTCACCAGTGGCACCATCAGCACCAACTTCTCCACCCGTGAGTACATGCTCTCTAGGCACCTGGTATCCCTGGAGACGTTCTGTGCATCCTCCAGATGAGTTGAGTGATAGGCTTTCAGCTTTGGACAGTGCAGCTCTGGGCCCTTCTTATTTTGGCTGACTGTGTCCCCAACCCAGTGGAACGGAGCTGTGTCAGTTTCTCCTTCAGTGCTGTCATTTGAACCAGGCCCAGAGAGACTAGTACTGCAAGGACATCTGAAAAGAAAAATCTGACCAAGATTAAGGTGCTGGATTTAGGACAGAGAGTTGCTGGGCTGGGTTATAATTAAGAGAGTAGCAGACAAAGGTAACATGTAGGGAGAAGTTTAAGCAGGCCTGGTGATTGGCTGGGGTCAGGGTCCTAGGCTTAGTCACACTAGAAGACAAAAAACCCAGAGGCCTACGTGAGGAAAGCAGGAGACATTCCCAGGAAGAAAATGGCACTGAACGATTATCTTCTAATCCAGGGGCATTTTTATGCACCTGTCCACACTAGAACTTGGGTCAATAGCCCTGGGGCCACAGAGGTGGGTGTGGGGCCCACTGTGCCTGAAATCAAGCAGGGACGTGCTGGAGAGAAGTACATCCTGGCATTTTTCTCCTGCCTGTAGTTTTGGACCCTCCTACCAACCTGACGGCCAGTGACATCACCAGGCAAAGCGCACTGATCTCCTGGCATCCTCCCAGGGCCGAGATTGAAAACTACATCTTGACATATAAATCCACCGATGGAAGCCGCAAAGTAAGCGTGAGCTGAAAGCCGAGAAAACCCGTATCTCTCCTGTGAGGCCATGTGGAAACTGACCAGCAGAATTACCCAGGGAAATTAAGGGGACGGAAGGAAGCAGTTCACAGAGAACCAATTACAGGTTTCCCATCTCAGATCCACAGCCTGCTGTGGAAGAGAACCCTTGTCTGCAAGCAGTAGATCCGAATGCTGCTCCTGGCTCTGCTATTGCTCTCTACTGAGCCCAGGTGGAACACAAACCCCCTGTGAACCTCCAATGTCTTCTCTAGAGAATCTACCCTGCAACTTCCCTACTGCAGTGGTGTTTCTATATTTTACCACTTCAACTCCATGGTATCATTGGCTCATTAACAGAGCCAAGCAAAGAGTTGGCTACCAAATTCACCAGGCTTTAATGTCCCCCAAAACACTAGAGACAACATGGACATCACCTACAGTAAAGAGATGATTCATTTTGTTTTTTGTTTATTTTTGTTGTTGTTGTTTTTCTTGCCATCAGTCAAAACCAACACTGGAGCACAGATTTTTGCCTTTGTCATTTTTTTGCTTTTGGTGGGATCTTTTTTAAAATGATGTCATTTGCAGAAGTCAAAAATCTTGAATAGATTTCAGCAGAGCTAATAATGGGAGTGGGGAGACCTCGGATTCTGCTTCTTCAGCTTCTTCCTTTGCTCTCAAACAGTCTGGAAACCTCTGGGTTCTGTAATCCAGGTATCTAAATGTATGCCGCGTGCATTTGTGAGATAGGGCCTGGCCTGGATCTCACGTGGGAGCTGTGCTCTCTGCTTCTTGGCACAGTTTTCTCCTTATCACGGGAAGGAGAGAGCTACTGTCGTGCTGACCTAGCTAGTCACAGTCCTGGGATTCCCTCCCCCCCTCTCCTCCGTGGCAGGTAGATCACTCCTCCTCCCCCTCTCTTGCTCTGGCTCTATCCAGGAGCTGATTGTGGATGCAGAAGACACTTGGATCCGATTGGAGGGCCTGTCAGAGAACACAGACTACACAGTGCTCCTGCAGGCAGCCCAGGACACCACCCGGAGCAGCCTCACCTCCACCGCCTTCACCACGGGTGAGGAGAGTCACAGCGCCCCCATGCCCTCTTGTGCATGGAATGGTGTTCAGCTCTGCTGAGGGAAACCTGGGCTAGGAGGAGTCTGTTACGGAAACACAGCTATCTCCTCTTTCCTTCTCCTTTTGCAAGGCTCTGCCTGAAAACCCTTGCTACCCAGGCACGCACAGAAATCAATAACCCAACTTCCTGGTCCTTCCCCAAACACATCCCCCTCCCCACCTCCTCCAAAACAACTAAGCACATCAAGTGAATTATCAGATCCCATCTTGCTCCCATGTTCCGCATGTGCTTCCCTCTCTCCCTCCTCTGCTGCCTATGCTCAGAGACTCGGCTAGTGAAAGCAGCAGAAGCAAACCCTCAATAGGAGATCTACTGCTCTTTTCTATACATAAAGCAGTTCTATCACACTGTAGCTGTAGCTCAGTTCCTAAACAGCTGATAGGGAAGGCCTAGGAAGGGCTCATTTCATACCTGATGAAACCAAGGTGTATAATGATCGAGGCCTTCCTGGGCTAGAGAGTGGCTGGTTCAGAATGTCAGCCAGGCCTTTCTGCTTCTACATCCAGCCATGCTTCCTGCCTCCTTCACCTAAGTCAGCAGAATACTCCAGCTCTGTGGTCTAAGCTATTAATATTCTGGTCCCCCCACCTCCCCACTCCCTCTGTAGTTAGACTTTGAATTGTCTCCTTGCTTCACATTCTAGGGGGAGCGGAGAACAAATAGCTTATCACTTCCCTAAAGATGCTTATCTGCAGCATACTATGGGAGTTGAATGCTTCTCTGGGCCCCAGAGCCTGACCTCCATCCCCAGAGCCAGGTCAGTAGGCTTCTAGCCTTATCCAGGTGCCTTCACCTCAGTGTTCTCATTCTAAATGATAGAGCAGGGCTCTGAGCAGATACCTCAATCCGTCCCCAAGTGGTTCTGTTAGGTAGTGACATTCTGAGTAAGTCCTCTTTCCTCTTCTTTATTATACTTCCCAAGACTTCATTCACAGTGTGCTTTCAAGGAGCATATTAATCAGAAGAAAAGAAAACAAACAGTCTACTGGAAAAATTAAAAATAACCAATATGAGAATTCAAGTGAAACTTTTAGGACTCTTAATCCTGTTTCTGGGGCTGATATCATTTACAATGTTTCAAAGGTGTCTTATTAAGGACTGAGTTGTTACCCTCTTCTTGTTCAAGCCTTTTTCCTGCACATTCACAGGTTAATTAAAGGATCCTTCGGGGTCCTCTTTCCGAAGATTCCACTTGAAAGAGCCACAGGTTGGAGAGTTTTCCACTGGATTAAAAATTCTTTTCATAGAAAGAACACAGATGACAGATACATTAACAGAGTTCCCAATTTGCATATTTATTAGGTCAAAGGAATCATTTCATCCTCTAGATGAATGGATTCCAGTGCTTGTAATATGAGCATAATATGAGCTTTACCTTCCCGTCCTGGTGGGGTAGTCTGAGTAGTATGTCAGGATGTCCCAAGGTTCTATGGGACCCCACAAGTTGGCTTCACTCCAGACCCACCTGGGCTGGAAGGTGTATGAGCTTCTGTGCCCTTCACTGCTACTATATCTCTGCTGTCTGTCTCTGTCTCTCTCTCTGTATCTCTCTCTTTTGATGACAGTACTGGGGCTTGAACTCAGGGTCTTGCACTCACATTGGGCTTTCTTGCTTGAGGCTAGAGCTCTACCACTTGAGCTCCTCCACTTCTGGCCTTTGGTTGGATTGCTGGAGATAAATCTCTTGTATTTTTCTTCAACTCAGGATCCTCCAATTTCAACCCAACCTCCTAAATATCTGGGATTTCAGATGCAAGCCACCAGCAACAATGCTTCTGGGAGAGCAACAGGGAGAGCTAGGGACTCCATAGGATCAAATAAGCCATGGTTAACAACTCACATGAAAACCTGAGTAGAGTCCTAGATAATGGCTTTGTTTCCTGGCCGGTGAGGACTGTAAAGACATGTTTAGGTTCATGTGTTTGTTTGTTTGTTTGTTTTTAACAAGACTACAAGTGACCTAATCTCCTAGGGTCTGACCAGTGTTAACTCAGAAAGGAGAAAACTGAAGGGCTCAATTTCCAAAGCAATGAATGTAGTAACAAACTGGACTGCTTGCTATGTAGCAGGGGTATCCAAAATCAGAAGTTTTTTGCAGGCTTACTGGAATACTCATATTGAAATGTAGGGCACAGATGTACACCAAACTCTACTGGCTTCCCCTTGGAGATTTATCAGTACCCACTGAAACAACCTGTTGCAGAATGAAAGATTCTGGGCAGAAAGAATGTACATGAAAGTACCTGGCATACAATAGACATGATAGACATTGATTCAAGAGTTAGATTCCAGCTTAGAGTTCAGAAAAGGAAATCTCTCATGGAACGAAGCTTAAGAAGAAGATCCTTAGTGCCCCTTGATAGGATGGCACAGGCAAGCTGCAGAATATCATGCCCCAAAGACCCCCAAATCCACCAGGTTCTCTCCACCCCCTGTTTGGATATTTCCCTTAATAAACAGGCCACATAATCCTTTGTCTGTTAATGAGTGATCATTACCTGTGCTGGTCCCTTACTCCTACTCTTTTTACCCCTGCCAGGGGCAAATTTTGTTAAGGATGAGGAGACTATGGGGGTATTAACTTCCTAAGGATGGAGTAAAAATGTTAGCAAGAAGGGAAAAGAGCAAAAATGAAGAGCAGAGTATCCTCACTTGTATTCTCCAGTGCAAGGCTCTACTGCTGCCAGCCTGGAGCCCGCAGGAATGAGTTCCTCCTGCTGAGCAAGTCTGAGAAACACCAAAAGCCTCTGCGACGGCAAACTAGGCCTGGTGTATTTAGAGGCTGATTTCTGTTTAGCAGCTAGTGAACCTTCCAACTTAGTGTTGGTACCTGAGATTTCCAGTTAACAGTGCCTGCTTGTCACTCTTCAGCCCATTTTTGCCTTCGTTTGGTATTCAGATAGGGTCTTGCTTGGGCTGGCCTTCGACCTTGATTTTCCAACTTCTATCTCCGAGTAGCCAGGATTCTACAGATGAGTACCACCAAGCCTGGTTGTTTCTTTGAGATAAGAATTTTGCTAACTTTTTGCCAGTTGGCCTTGAGTCACAATCCTATCTCTTCCTTCCCAAGTAGCTAGGATTGCAGGCGAGAGCCACCACACCCAACCCAGAAGGCTCTTACTCTTTTTTAAAAATATATTATTTTATTGTTATTAAGGTGTTGTGCAGAGGAGTTAACCATTTCATAAGTCAGATAATGAGTACCATTTCCTTTTTGGACAATGTCATCCCTTCCTTCACTTCCCAAGTGTCCTGCTCCCTTTTCTTGTAGGATCCTGTTCTTAAGATCAACTGAGCCCAGCTGCTTATTCTGTTTTTTATCCTTTATCTAATGGAACAACAGAGCTTAAATTTTGGCTTCAAAGTGGCCTCCTCCACTATCAGGCCCAGCCCTGATTTGGGTGGGCCAAGATAACATACTTGATTGGAGCAAATGCTAACCTAATGGTCTGAGAAATAGTCAGATATTAATATTAAAAAAGAGCTGACCTCAAAAACCTCCTTTTATAAGATGCATTCCTTTGTTTTCCTGCCACACAATATAAGCCCAGTTCAATCTTTCCATCCTGTTAGTAGCTTCCTGTCCTCTTGTCTCTGGTGTTTGCACAAAACTCTGAGGGGAATTAAATACAAGTAGTATGGAAGAGGAAAAAAATATGGATACATTATTTATAATTTACTGTCGCCTGAAATTTCATCCAAGGTCTACTTGTCTTTTAGAGACATGAATTTAAATGAGGAAACAAATATTCCCTGTAGAGCAACAGAGGCTTGGTGAAATGATCTTCTGAGGGATAGGTTTCATTGTCTCTTTTAATACCATAAAAAAAGCAAACAAGGCTCGTGCTAAAGCTCATCCTCAGAGACAGTGAACACTATAAAGTGGGTTGCCTTGACCTTAAGGTTAAGTGAGAGCAATCATTTGCAGAGGTATCCAAAGATGAGTAATGACAAGTGCCTTTAAGAAAAACACCTATGCTGGCTGGGAAGGTGGCTCAGTGGTAGAGCACTTGCCTTGCATGCATGAGGCCCTGGGTTCGATTCCTCAGCACCACATAAACAGAAAAAGCCGGAAGTCGGCGCTGTAGTTCAAGCAGAAGAGTGCTAGCCTTGAGCTGAAGAGCTTAGGGCCAGCACCCAGGCCCAGAATTCAGGCCCCACAACTGAAAAATAAAATAAAATTAAATAACATAAATAAACACCTATGCTCCAGACCTTGCTTTCCCACATTCACCTGCTCTGTGGGGCTTTTCAGGAAAATCCTAGGGTCTTTTCTAACACAAGCTTCATTTAGTTTTTCGAAGTTGTGGGAAATTAATGAAGTACAGATTTTGGAACAATAGGCAGTGACTCACAGAAATCTATAGAGCTATCAGAATTTCATTTGGAGGCTGAGTGTGGTGACAGACACCTTGATCTGAGCACAAGGAAAGGCAGAAGTAGGAGGGTTTCAAGTTCAAGGCCAGCCTGGACTACATTCCAGTTGTTGTCAACTACTGTCTACTCCTATGAGCATCACACGGTGCCTCACCAGATGCAGGGCTGAGGGCAATTCTGCTCACTACTTAGAAACAACTTGCATCTTTCTTTCATCAAATCCCGAAAAAGAGAGAGCCACCATCTTTCTTTACGACTTGGCTATGGAGAAGGAAGTAGTCACTAATCACACTGTTTGGAGAAACCATCCCTCCAACATGAATAGATGGATATGTGTGAGATCAGGGACTTGGATTAATCCTACTGCCTAGTTTTCTGCACATCACAGATGCTAATCTCCTCCAGGGTTCTCTATTTTTATTTCCTTTTGCCCCATCCCTTCTTCTACTTTGCATATGCAATCATTCTAAGGTGTCAAATGTGAAGTCTTCTGTTTGTGGTTTTGAAAAATGTGTTCTTGTAAAGTTGCTTTGAGTAGGAATATTTTAAATATATAAATG